GACATTAGTTAGCAGGATAATGAACTGCACTTATACAGCATTTATTCATCTTTATTAATGTTAATTTCGACATTTAGTAATACTTTATTAAAATCTTGTTAGTTAATGCTGTGAACTAACATGAATAAACAATGAACAGCTGTATTTTTATTAACTACTTTAACAATGATTAACAAATACAGCAAGAAATATATTGCCTATATGGTTAGTTCGTGTTAGTTAATACATGAACCTTATTTTAAAGTGTTACCGAAATATTATTGTTAAGCCCATACTTAATCAATATAAATTCATTTTGACATAAGCCTCCCAAAACATTTTTGGGCTTTTTAGTTTTTACAAAATTTCACCAGATCTAGCAAAAGCTAAATTAACTATGAAAGTAGAATGTCCAATTAAGATAAACAAAAAACTATTGTGAATGTTTAATTTATTACTTTCTATAAATAAAGACAACTTCAAAATAACTTATTGCTTATTGTGATAGGCTAGATCACAGTATGGTGTCTGGTTTACATTTTTTCTGTTGGGAGTATTATTTGCTTTTAGACAAACTGAACAAAAATGGGTTTAAACCAGACACGGTTTTCGATTGGACAAATATAATAATGCACTTAGGTCTATATAAATGTGGTTGTTTTACTTTTTTCAGTGTACACTTATGAGCAATGAACACTCTTTTCCACACTCTTGCTTTTCATTTTATTGTCAGTGCGGTGAACTGTACTTTAGGCCTATTCCAGGCTCTTTTGTACAAAGCTGAAATTGAACTGACTTGCATGCCTTCACTACAAGTTTTCTAAAGACTGTAAGGTCAATTAATAGTGGTATAAAAACAACAGCCAAAAGTGCCAATACTTTGTGCATGTAGACACTGACACTGTTGCAAACACATTTAACGGAACTGTGTAGTATGTGGAAGTAAAAGTAAATGACATTACTGCAGTGGAGTGATTGACTGAGGATGATGCTGAATCTGAGCAGAGATTTAATGCATAATTCTTAACTGCACAGATGGTCTAATGGGTCCCAAATCTTCCACCATCTAACTTCCACCATGGATATATGTTCTACAGATGGAGATAATGGCCCTGTGCAGTGTATATGTTAAAATGTTGTGGCTTAACTGGAGCTGTTAAATTAGTGTCCAGAGGATAAATTGCTTTTTATGCACTTCACGAATCAGATATTTTCTGATGCTCTAATGTGCTTTTCAGTGATTGCATAATACATTTTGATATTCAGTTAGAAGTACTGTAAAAATAGTGTTAACATGAGACTAAATTTACACTACAAAAACATGAAACATTCATTGAATAACTGAATCTTTTATATTATTAATGCATTTATAAACTGGGACGCATACAGAATCATACTCTTATGAGGGAGGGAATACAAACAAAATAGAAGGCGAAAATTTATAGAAAAAAGAGAGTCAAATAGAGAAACAGTAATTTGTGATAAATCTTATTAAATTTTATTCAAATTAAATTAAATGTACTTTTATAATAAATCATTAAAATATACATTTAAATGTAATTTTTTGGAAATATTAAAATGTTTAAAATATTTTTAAAATTATTTAAAATTTAAAACGGTATTATTATCATGATAATCATTTTAAAATAATTATTATACTTATTTATTTAATTATTATTTTAAAAAAGAATGCCTGTAGATGTGAAAACTATTGATGTTATAAACCTATTCTGAGAAATATTCATGCTGGAGTAAAAAAAAAAAAAGGGACAACAAGCCAAGCTTTGTTATGTTGAGTTATGTTTTGCGTATCATTTGGATACAATCACAAATTGCAAGATTAAAAATGACTGAATGCGCGAGCACTGGAATCGGTCTCCGCCCACCTCCATAAAACACTAACTGCAGATCAACATGGATTAGTGAAAGCAAAGCACGAGCACGAGGAACTTCAGACTCGTGGACTGTCGTCAAAGAAAGTAAGGAACATATTTTCACTGTGTTTTATTGTCGTGTTAATTCGTCAAAAGTTACATTTTACAAATGAAATGTGGCATGCTGCTGCACACGCGCAGATCGGTTTAGTTTATTATAGATTTGTTAAAGAAAAATGAACACCACAGTTTACCGAATATAAATCGCCTGTATTATTATTTCATAGGAGTGTCCGTTTAAATGAAAATTTGAATATGACTTCAGCCATTTATTTTAGAATAGATTTAGCTAAATAAAGTTTGTTAATATGAAAAGGTGATTAGATAACGTGCTGCCGGGGTCAGGAATCAGGATGCTTGAGGACAGCATTCAAATCACTTGTCACGGTTTAAGCAGCCAGTTACAGTAACAGTAAGCCGGCAATACAGGTCAAGACAGAAGGATTTTCGCCTGTCACTTGAAATGTAACTTAGTGATGGGGTCAGGGGTTTCATCGACGAAACCCCCATCCACACCTCCAGCCCAGTGTGCCAAATGTGGGACGCCGTAAGTGTGAATGCAGTTCTGTCAGCGGCTGTTTTTCGTGTGTGTTTAACGGTGTTTATTTATTTATTTTTAATTTTAGCCCAATGTCTGGAAACGAAGAGCGCACTTTCATTGCCATCAAGCCTGATGGAGTGCAGAGGGGACTTGTCGGAGAGATCATCAAGCGCTTCGAACAGAAAGGGTTCAAGTTAGTTGCTCTGAAGTTAATCCAGGTAAATTAAATGAACCGTTTTATGTTCGTATTGGACTTGCCAAAAAAGGCGTCGTGATTAAAGGGATTGTTCGCCAAAAACGAAAATTCTGTAATTTACTCAAAGTGTTTCAAAACTGTATGTATTCTCTCTTCTGTTGAATACAAAAAGAGATACTTTTAAGAATGTTGGTCACCATTGACTATGACTACACTGCTTCAACAGAAGAATGGAAATGATTATGATTTCCATTTTTGGGTTATCCCTTTAATGACGGTTATATGGCTATAACATTATATTTGTGGATGTATTGTGTGATGTGAATGTAACAAAAATGCAAGATTTGTATATATATATATATATATTTTTGTATTTACTACATTATTTTACAAAAAATATTTATCATATTAAGCAAAAATATTATCACTACGCAGATGAGATACGCAGATCTCAGGATCTTCTATGGAAGGATGCTAGCCTTGATGCAAATGTGTATTAATGTTTAACTAATTAACTATATAACAAATATATAGGTTTCTATATTACTTAAAAGAAGCAATACAAACTTTATATATTTTTAGATGTAAGAAGCTCTATTCTTTGTATATAGCCTACATTACATGGTTATAAATAAACTTGACAAAAGTAAGTTATATGTATTTTTTTTTCTAGTTAACCGTTTCAAAAAATATTATAATTTTGTATTATTATAATTGTTTTTGAACTGCAGTTTAATTTAAATTATCTGATTGTTACATGTTGTATTATATTACTTAACAAATTAAAAACTTTATGGATTTTCCCCTATCAATAATTTTAGAAAACTCTATTTTTAGTGTTAAGGAACTTCAACTCTCTCAGACACACACTTGTTTCTGGGGTTAAACCAATTATTAGTTCCTTGTGGTCTGCAAAGATATATATATCCTCATCTCATTACAGTAAACATGACCTCAAAATGAAGATTTAGTCATAAAAAAAATGTTTTAGGCCAAATGGGGATGTGGAATTAACGGACCATTAATTGACAAAACTTTCTCCGCTGCTGTCTTTAATGCAGGCCGATGAGGATCTTCTAAGACAGCACTACGGTGACCTAAAGGACCGGCCGTTCTTCCCTGGGCTTGTCAGTTATATGTCCTCTGGCCCTGTGGTTGGCATGGTAAACCCATTTATATTTATTTTCCCCAGTGTGCGGCTCTAGGGCACTTTGAATTTAATAATGTTTCTCCCTTATTGTTCATATATATTCCTCATACATTTCATGAAGCTGACTGTACTAATGTTATTTTTTCGATATATTTTTAGGTGTGGGAGGGTTTTAACGTTATTAAAACCGGTAGAGTAATGCTCGGTGAGACTAATCCCATTGACTCCAAGCCTGGGACTATCCGAGGTGACTTTTGCGTTCAGGTTTCCCGGTAAGATCTCACACTGTATTCTAAAATATATTTTTGATGAGTTTGTTTTAAAGATAATATAAGAAATGTTAAGCATCAAATCATCATATTAGAATTATTTCTGAAAGATCATCTGACACTGAAGGCTGTAATGATGTAAGTAATGAGTAATGATGCTGAAAATTCAGCTTAGTCGTCACAGGAATAAAATACATTTGAAAACTTTAAATGGAAATATGTCATAATATTGCCATTTTTACTGTATTTTCAGTCAAATAAACGCAGCCTTGAAAAATATGACTACAAAAACATTACAAACATCCACTAAATAGGATGCATGTCACTTTAATTTCTTCACCTGTTCCAGTTTTTGCTAATATTAAATTGCTTTGGCTTCAGAAACATCATTCACGGCAGTGATTCTGCGGAAAGTGCCAACACTGAGATCAACCTGTGGTTCAAACCAGACGAGATCTGTGACTACACCAAATGTCAGGAAATCTGGATCAATGGCTGACCACGTTCTTCTTTTTCTGCACCTTTCTCCCTCTCCAGTGTTTCTGCTTTGATTCCTTACATTTTCCTCCCACCTATGTTTCTGGTACTTGTGTTTACAATAAAACAAGAAATCCTGTGAGTTTTGAGGGACACTTTTAATGAGCTGAAACTATAAAACAAATGCTCGAGCCATGACAACAAGTCATGTAATGCAAGGATTTATTAAACATAATACTTCAAGTAGTTCAAATGAATGAATTAGAACCCTATTTGTACTTACTGTAGAGTACTCATGGCCCCATTCAGCCAAAGCAATGAACCATTTGTCTAGTTTTCGACAGAGCAATGCTACACGAAGCACTGCAGCAAGGAATGAATTTGGGAAATAAAGTACACAGTGCTCATTTAAAATGATACTGTAGCACCAGCAGTGCTTTTTTTTCATAAAGTCCATTAAAATATCATTATGCCACATCATATGCAAAATCTAAAATTCCAGATTGCCACTTATAAGGAAAAAACATGCAAGAACAGGATGTTCTGGTCTTCTTGCAGATTTTTAAAAAATGACAGACAGTTAGAGAAAGTCTCTTTCAGTCAAGTACTGGTTGTTTTACCAGTGTACAGTACATGCAGAAATAAATCGATACAATAAAATATACATAGTACATACACTAAAAATTGTAAAAGTGCACAAGATTCACAGAAGTGAATAGCCGTTTGAGACTTTAAAGCTCCACTTGAACACTTCTCGTCCTCTAGCTTGATGATATTTTTGTGTTTTAACCACAGGGGCCCCAGTTTATTAAAATGCAAGTTCCCTTTTGGTCAGCCTGAGCCAAAAAAATAGTGCTTTGCAGAATGACAGCATTTACAAAAAGGGACTGTCCCTTTTTAACTTGCAAAGCAAATAAATTATCGTTCTGGTACAAAAATATGTAATAGATGTAATGCATACAATGTTTTCTCTTTCCCTAAACACAACGGTTGTCAAAATATACTATGGCTCTATTATTTTGTTAAGAAGTGTCATTTTCTTAACATTTTAAGATCTAGTTAAGTAAAGGTTTAAACAGACAATTTACAGTGCAACTACAAATATACTGTACAACACTGAATCTTGTTGGCAGGACATAAAGTTTCACTATAGCAAAACATACTTGGTCCATGAGGTTTGGGTCATTCATTACACGATGATGATTAGTTATGTTTTGATCAGTTGTATTATTGCTTACTTTTGAACCGAATAAAGGATTCTCCAGTCTACAGAAAACAAAATTGAAGAGTGATGAGTCTCAGAGCACTTGAAACAGAGTTCTGGTAGTATCTCACTTAGATTTTACACCGTATATCCATTTGCTAGAGGCCAACTGTGAGTCTTGATCTGAGCACAACAGGAAATTAAAATGGTCTCTGTTGGAAGAGCTTTACTACAGTAGATCTGAACCATAAGTGCTTACATTCTGAAATCTTCACTGCAGGTACTGTATCCTGTCCAAGCAAACCAAAGATGCAGAAAGCAACATTTTGGGATAAGATTACAGATGTGAACGTGGATATTTTGAGGCAGGATCCACTGTTAAAACCAATACTTGTAAGCTGGACCACCAAGGTGTGTTGTAAACAAAGTGTGAGAAATCATCCAGAAGATCGCATGTGAAGGCCCCATGCAAGGAGTTGCAGTAGGTCAATCCAACATGGCTTCCAGCTGGTCAGCAAGATCATCGAACATGTTTCCTATATCATCAAGAATGTTCCCAGCTGACTTCACTGTGTTAATGCCCCTGAGGGAAAGATGAGCAAAAACAAGGTTGAGAATATAGAGGTATTGTGAGTGAATGTCTTAAAGTCCAAAAAGTCACCAAAAAGTTTTTTTTCCTGTGAATTTTTTTAATGTGTGCCTTAAAATGGCTTGAATTTAACTCTACAACCTTGCATCATTTAGTATACATAGAACCATGAATATGCAAATGAGCCCCACCTCCACTCACACAGGCTTGTCTATACCGATGTATCATAATGTTAATGAGTTTTATGTATCGCTCACTACAATGCAAGACGCGTAGCACTAATTAATATGATTAGCCTTTGGCTTGACTACGTTATCTGTACAGCTAATAATGTGTTGCTAATGTTACACAAACCATGTTCGCGCTCACCATCTCATCCTTAGAAATACTTTGAACATCAGTGGAGAAATGCATAGTTCATCATAATATTATAATATAAATCAAATACATAATTCAGCCACTATATTGCTAAAATGTATCTGATTTTTAATAACAGAAAAATATTGAGAATGAGGAGTCACGTGCCTATTTGGGCGGGGTCTGAGCCAGTCGGCCATGATGGTAGGTGACGCTATCGGTTACCAGGGTTTTTATCAGTTTTTAACGCAGCGGTTACTTCCAGGCATGGTAAAACAGTGCGGTATTGCGAGAAACTCCTCTACTACCGAGCTAAAAACACACGTAATCAATACTGTTTTGTCGTGGGAATCCTACCAACATGGCGGAAAGGGGAGGGGCACAGTAAAATGACGTCAACTCCTCATTCTCAATACCGGGCTTCTCTTGAGAGTCCCCTGCTTCACGCCCGCCCCTCGTGACGTGATTAGTTTCAAAGTAGTTAGTGATGTAAGAAACACCAGCGATTTTTTTTCACTGCAGTTTTAATGAAAAAATACTCAATGGTGTTAAATTTGCACATGGTTTGTCTTAAAGCATAGTATAGAGATATAAACAACATTTAAAACTTGATTTTCACCACAAGGGGAGTTTAATAAAGGAATGTTTTTACAGTTTGCTATTTTTAGGCGCTTGAGCGATCGTCGGCGATGCGATGTCTGCGTACAGTTTCCTACAATGAGATGCACTTGAGCTGAACTTTCAATGTGATAGATGAACTGGAGGTGATATTAGCCATTAATATAACAAAATAACCCCTTTTATTTCATATATCAATAACAAGTCTAGTATATAGTGTATACAGCACAGTATTCAGTATTAGTTAGTACTCCAATCTGAACATAGTCAGGAGTGGACGTTACTTTATGTAAAACACACTGACTGGGGGGTTTATCCTTGATTAGCATATGCTATGCTAAGAGCTAAATCTGTTCAAAATGCAAAATAAGGTTCAACGCAGAGAGATTGACCACAGAAACACTGCTGACAGTGGATTTGCTGTGATAAAATAGGAGTGGAATCAAATGAAAGTCTAAGTTGTTGAGACACCATATCTGTCTCTGTCCATGAGATAAGGACATCAACAATTTGTCTTCATCGCAGCCAGACAGATCAAAGAGTGAGAGAAAAAACAGGCACTAGTTTAGGGAGATCACTTATTGCTAGATTTCCCAGCAGGCTTGTTATGACAAGTGGCCATTCTGTCATTATGGTATCATCTGCAATGCTGTCTCATTGAAATACATGATTTCCTCTACTGTGTGAGAGGGGATTCAAGCTGTTTAATACTACTTTGACAGAGGACAGATACAAAGAGACAAAAATAAGTTGTTTGTCTTACCTTTCTGCTGGATCTTCCTGAGCCAACTTTCTCTCTACAACTTTAAGGGCTGCCTCGAGAGACGTGCTAGTTTGTTCAAGGCGTTTGTTGACCAACACGTCCTGGCCTTCGGTCACAGCCTGTGGCTTTCCTGCAGCCTGACCTTGAGGTGCTTTGCTTGAGGGACTGTGAGCTAGAGGACTGCAGGGAGGTGAAACGGCAAAGGCCAAGCTCTGGGCGACATTGACTGTCACTCCTGAAGACATTTTTGGCCAAAGGAGGAGATAATAATTTAGAAGAGAGTCTAAACCTTGGATCGCAAGTTCATAAATATAATTATGGGCAAATGCTTGTGAGAATTCAAAGGGGTAGTTTAGTATTAGTAGACTGTTACGGTTAGTATAATAAGTTTTCATTTACTTTCAAAGTTAGGCTTATAGTCAGTAGAACTGATAGCTGGCATGTAGTTGCAAAGTTACTTACAGTATACTTAGTAGAATGTCTGAAGTGGACAATCGAAATAGTATAACCAAATTATAAACTGATAATATTAAAGGGATAGTTCACCCAAAAATGAAAATTCTGTCAGTATTTACTCACCCTCATGTTGTTCCAACCCCGTAAGTCCTTTGTTCATCTTCGGAACATGAATTAAGATATTTTTGATGAATTCTGAGAGCTGGATCACTCCTCCATACTAGTCCATAGGCTTCTTGAGGGATTGAAACTTGCCAGCCTCGAAAAGTTATTAAAGACATCGTTAAAATAGTCCAAGTGACTACAGTGGCTCAACCTTAACTTTATCAAGCGACGAGAACAATTTTTGTGTGCAAAAACAAACATAAATAATGACTTTATTTCAACTATTCACTTCCTTCTCTTTGAGCGTCTAGTCAGTTAAACTAGTGTAATTGCATAGAACTACGTCACACGTACAGTAGGCTCACTATTGGCCGACGCTGGTCATGTGTGTAATGCGTGTGAAGTACAACAACAGATCATACACTGTTAAACTTGTAACCTGACTCGAGGCCAAGAGAGAAGGAAATGAATATTTGAAATAAAGTGGTTATTTTTGTTTGTTTGGTTTTTTTTTGCGCACAAAAAGTGTTCTCGTCGTTTGATAAACTTAAGATTGAGCCACTGTAGTCACTTGGACTGTTTTAAAAATGTCTTTAATAACTTATCGAGGCCGGCAAGTTTCAATTCCTCAAAAAGCCTATGGACTAGTATGAAGGAGTGATCCAGCTCTCAGATTTCATCAAAAATATCTTAATTTGTGTTCCAAAGATGAACGAAAGTCTTACGGGGTTGGAACAACATGAGGGTAAATACTGACAGAATTTTCATTTTTGGGTGAAATATCCCTTTAAAATAATATATTTTATAATAATTCAAAATATTAATAAATACTATGTAAACAAAATATTAATATACTACTATTAATATAACACTGGAGCCAATCAATGATGATGGATTAAACAATGGAGTTCTGCACAATACATTTTTAGTAAAAATGTAAAGAACAGTAAAATGGGCATTCACAGTCTTTTCTAACAATAAATCTTTTGTAACATCATGTCTTTACAGTCACTTTTAATCAATGTAATGTGTCCTTGATGAATAAAAGTATTTATTACTTTCACACAAAAATCAACTTACAGAACACACATTTTTTAATGGTAGTGTATGTCTGCAAAGTAGTTATGAATGTGTTTAAAATAAAAAAAATAAAATAAACTATAGCCAAACAGGTTGCATTACCTGAGGTTGCTGCAGTAGAATGGCGTGTGGGCTTAGAAGGGGTGGGAGGTTTATGTGGAGAGCCTGGTTTTGGAGAGAGGCCAGATTTAAAAGGATTTTTTGTCAATCCACCATTCTGCATGCGTTGCGAGACTATCTTGGTCCCTGTGGCCCTCTCATTTCCTATTTGCGTGCTGGTGCCCTGACCTATCATCTCCAGTTCCTTTGGCTTGTGTCTTCTTTTGACCGTGTCTGATTCCTTTAAGTTAAACTCATGCACCTCTAGGGAGGATTTGATGAATTGTGCCGGCTTCAGAATTTCAACACCGGCCTCACACTCTATCTTAGCAGGTGCTATTTTGGTCCTTTGTTTGATGGTAACTTTGCCCTCTTCGGCGAACGGTATGCTCTCCTGTGAGGATGTTGAACCTGCACATTGCTGGTTCCTCAGAGGGCCGATGTTTTCATCTGCAGGATTTTCTTCGCCATGCTTCGTTTTATACGTTGAAGATTCACTAGCGGTCTTCCTACGGTTGCCCATATTTTTTGGTGGGGTGGCTGGCGTCATGGCTTTAAAAACGGGGCTGTTGCATGTCTTATTGGGGCTTCCTTTATTGTTCTCCAGCCTGGCTGCAATGCTGCGGACACTTCCTGCACTCTCCGTTTCAACCCCGCTTGTAGCTACCCCACTCGGGGCAGAGCTTAGTCGCTTTGGAGGGGGAGGAGGAGGACCTTTCCTCTTGGCACGTATGGCGAAGGAATGACTGCGGCCCACTTGACGCTCACTGGCGTAAGACGGTTGGCTGCGGCCGGGTTTGCGAGTAAGCGTGGCATAAGATGCCACATTGGCAGAAGTTGTCATAGGGGCTGAGATGTCGTCTTCATCGTTCTCTCCATCCGACATAGCATAGCGTGAAAGACTTTGAGTTCGCTTTTTGGACCGGGGAGTGTCTCCGTTTGGCTGCTGGGGTCTGATTGGACCTGGGCTTCCCAAGTTGGGGTTGCATTTTTGATGCGACAGATAGCCGAAGGCCCTCTGAAGAGGTGATCCATGATGGGGCTGAGAAGGAGAAACCACTGGTCTGGGTTTGGTGAGGATAGGTGGGTATGCAAAGCGTGCTATTTTACTAGTGATTATGGGTGGTGTCCTTGCTGGACTGCCAGATAAGGGGTGATTAGGTTGTAGCGGCAACACCGGCGCAATTTTGATTGGTGATATTTGGCTTCTATCCTGAGATTCCATGATGGCATTTTGTTCCTTGCTGGGACTGCTGTCCAAACTGCCCAGACTCTCTTGTGAGCGGCTGTGGGGGGTTATCGACGCCATTGGGCGTTCTTGCGACCGCCCTGACCCTCCTGACCGTGTACCAATGCTTTCTTGACTAAGACGCATGGCCGTTCCACTCACGTTGCTGAGACCATCTTGGCCTCCACTGTATCCGCTCCGAGCCATGGCGTTTTGTAGCTCAGCGCTCAGCTCGCTGTCCTGGAAAGTGAGCATCTTTGGTGACAGAGGGGACGATGGGCAGTCGGAGCTGTCGTGGTGCTCGATGGCCACCAGCTCGAGGGTAGGGGGAACTCTCCGGCGCTGTAGCATCGCCTGTCCCTCGGCCTGGTTCTTACGAGCCTTCTGTACATCACTGAGCTTCTTTACAGCAAGCATCAGCTTCTTCTGATGCCCTGTAGATAAACAATATGTTAATCCACAGATATAGTTTTAGGAAAAATAATCTGATGCACATGCGCATTAATGACATTTTGTTAACCGTGTCACTTATCTGGTATATTGCTAATCTGAGTGCATCTTTTATATGCATGCGTGGAACACTATCTATCTACACTATCGTTCAAATGTTTGGGGTCAAGATAGAAATTAATACTTTTATTCGGCAAAAATTGCATTAAATTGATTAAAAGTGACAGTCAAGACATGTATAATGTTACAAAAGATTTCTATTTTAATAAATAGGGTTTTTTTTAGAACCAAATCAGCATATTAGAATGATTTCTGTGAATAATGCGACACTGAAGACTAGAGAAAAAACACTGCAGGAAGTCATTATATTTTAAAATATATTAAAATAGAAAACTGTAATTGTAATAATATTTCCATTTTACAGTATTTTTATCACATAAATGCAACCTCTAAGAACAAAAGGGACTTCTTTAAAAAACATTAAAGGTTATAAAAAAACAAAACATTTTTACGATAGTGCATCGATCAATCCACTTACCCAGCTTAATGATGCCAATTTCCTGTAGATCCTCCCATGTGATATCTTGCACTATGCTGATGGAGTCATATCCATTCTCTGCTAGATTTTTCTGGTACTGTGGCAGCCCAATAGCACTGAGCCATTTTGCAATATCAGACTGAAATAAAAAGACAAGTATGCTTTTCCTATTGTATTTGATTAATTGACAGTGCTTCTGATGGTTTAAGGGATAGTTCAACCAAAAATGCAAATTCTGTCTTATGTCATTCCAAACCCGTAAGACTTTCATTCATCTTTGGAACACAAATGAAGATCTTTTGGACGAATCTGAGAGCTTTCTATTCAAAGCAACTACCATTTTTAAGCCCCAGAAAGGTAGTAAAGATATCCTAAAGAATTCCATTTGACACCAGTGGTTTAACCCCAATTGTATGAAGTTCTTTTTTGAGCCAAAAAAAAATAATGACCACTTAATTTACTAAAAAATATTAATCTCCAACACACGTCTGTTCTCACATCAACAACAAGCATTTGTCCTTGTGGTGCTCTCATGAATGCGCGTTGGAGAATAATATAAAAGAACACTCAACAACACAAAAGGTAGTTGCGTACCTGTCAATGAAGGGTTAAGGAAGCTCTCAGATTTAATTAAAAAGATCTCCAACCATGTTCCGAAATTAAACAAAAGGGTGAGAACAACATTAGGGTGAGTAATTAATGACAGAATTTTCATTTTTGGCTGAACTAACCCTTTAAGCATATAAAAGTCAATGTCTGTAATAAGTAGTTAATAAATAGATAATTGCTAAATTCATAAGTTCTCATTAGGTGTATCATAACCTTGAAATTCTACAGCACATGTAGGGAAATGTTTAAAACTGTTTATATGAAAAAATAGCATTGAATTACTGGAATGTAATCCGGCAACCACTCTGGGATATTCAAGTTGCTGATCTCCATAGAGATCTTCTTGCGGTGGCCAGGCTTTGTAACGCCAATAGCAGTGAGATCCTAAAACCATACAAAAAGATTGATTTAGACACAAAATTAATAGTTTTCGTGAAAACATCTCAGAAACCTGATTATGGTATGTTAAAGCGATAGTTCACCCAAAAATGAAAATTCTGTCAACATTTACTCACCCTCAAGTTGTTCCAAACCTCTATGTGTTTATTTGTTCTGCTGAACACAAAGGAAGATATTTGGAAGAATGTTTTAATCAAACAGATCTCAATCCCCATTGACTACCATAGTAGGTAGTCAAAAAATACATACTATGGTAGTCAATGGGGAATGAGATCTGTTTGATTAAAACATTCTTCCAAATATCTTCCTTTGTGTTCAGCAGAACAAATAAACACATAGAGGTTTGGAACAACTTGAGGGTGAGTAAACTATGATAGAACTTTCTTTTTTGGGTGAACTATCCCTTTAAGCTTTGATATCTACCAGATGCAGAACTGCATACTAATGTGCCGTGCCAGAAATGCAGCAAGATGCAAACATAAGCCAGTGTACTTAAATGTTGATCCATAAAAAAAAGGCTCACCTCAGGGGTCATTCTGCTGATTGTGGGCACATCATAACCAGCTGTGAGGAAATTCGATGTGTACTGCTCAAGCTGAAACTCACAGAGCCACTGGTAAATTGCCTCAGCATCCTGATTCAAAGAAATGATTGAGCATTATGCATACAGTAAAAGCGGAATAGGTCATTATGTTAAGGGCCACAGGTCATTTAGATGTGAAAATGCTAATAGGTGGTGTACTACTGAAAACAAAAGGAAAATTGAAGAGGATTCCGATTATTGTTTATGGCTACTATTCCAAGAGAATACTAATTTACTACTTAATAAATAGTGTGCATGTGCAGTGTACCAGTACCATGTACTGCCCCAAAAATACATTTCAGTAAAAAAAAAGTGAAAGAGTGTGCATTATTCCACAGTAAACATTTCAAACTGTATGCATCACCACATGACCTTACTATATTTGTCACAAGACCTCAGCAAGTGGCATCTAATTAGCTTATAGAAATAAATTGTTTTAAACTATAATACAATTTTGAAAAAAAAACAAAAAAACAAATTCTAATAATGGTAATCATCACCATCATTAGCAGTAGTAGTGGTATTATATCAATTATAATTGTTATATTATATAAAATAAATATTAGGGCTGTGCAAAAATTAATTGCGATTAATCGCATCCAAAATAAAAGTCTGTGTTTACATAATATATATGTGTGTGCTGTATATAATTATTTTGTATATATAAATACACACACATGCATGTATATATTTAAGAAAATGTGTTATTGATAATATAAAATATTTATATTTATATAACATAGATTATGTATTTATATATATATACAGAATTTAAGTGCAAATAATTCTTAAATATATACATGCATGCATAGGTATTTATATATACAAAATAATTATATATAGTACACACAAATATATTATGTAAACACAGACTTTTATTTTGGATGTGATTAATCGCAATTAATTTTTGCACAGCCCTAATAAATAATATGGTTTTATATAAATTATATAAAATTGGTTATTTTAGTGCTGTCAAAATGATTAATCACTGATGATATATGTGTGTGTGTGTGTGTGTGTGTGTGTGTGTGTGTGTGTGTGTGTGTGTGTGTGTGTGTGTGTGTGTGTAGATATACTGTATATACAGATATATATATATATATATATCAACAAATACACAAATCAATTTTGTCAAATTGTCTATATTCAACAAAAAGACTCGCAGTGCTTGATTTAACATTTCACTTCCAGTGTAATCAATGTACCTATTTTTTGCATCTCTTTGACTCATTTTGTCAGACTAATCTTTTTTTTTTTTTTCACAAAAAATTGGATGGTAATAATAGTGTTATAATAACAATAAATTACTATTAAGCAGTACTAAGTTAGTTTTATATTATTATTAGTAGTAGTAGTAGTATTACAAAAATTGTATAAAAATATTGGTAATAATAATAATAACTTAGTACTGCCAATTATAACCCTATAATTACCATACAGTTTTTTGTAAAAAAAAAATTAAATAAAAAAAAAAAAGATTAGTCTGATAAAATGAGTCAAGAATGAGATGCAAAAAATAGGTGATTACACTGGAAGTGAAAGGTCAAATCAAGCACAAGATCAAATCAAGACAATTTGTATCTGGCACAATGTAGCACGATAGTTTGCTGTTCTGCCTTGGTCTCACCCTGCCATCTAAAAGTTGCTGTGGATGGATGACATGTTGTTCTCCAGGTCTGGAGCTGCTCAGTGGAATCCTCCGTCCAAGAGCACCTAAAGCGCACACACACACACACACACACACACACACACACACACACACACACACACACTTCTGTTGGTCACAGACTTGGCTATTGCCTTAGGCTGTGAAGTATAGACTCCCAGAGCAGTCTTTCATACATATTATTGTACCTGCATGTTTATAAATCAGTGAGCTGAAGGAGTACATGTCACAGCAGAAATAAATATTCTCCTGTGACCCGAGGCACAGTTTTTTTTTTTTAAGGCTGTTTTGATGAGTGATTGTGAAAGTATGCGTTCATGTGAGAGACAGACAAGCGTATACCTTCTTCTATGATAACAAACAGTACACCCAAGGTACTGTTTGGCAAGAAACTAAAGTTAAAAAAGTTATAAAATCTATAAAATGACAACTTGTAACAAAGCAAGATAATAAGATTGAATTGATTATATACATTTTTAAAATGTCCACAGTGGCAATAACATGCATGTTAATACGACTCACCTCCATAAAATAAGCTGATTTTAGGAGCGTTTCCTGATCTCATGCTTATTTTTAGATCCTCTTCAAGTCAAAGCCACAACAAAAACACTTGTGTCCGTGCCATTGATAATCTTCTCTCCCTCTCAAATTCTCCTCTTTTCCATGGTATTTTAGATTTACACAAAACATAGTCCCTCCTACTGAAATCTGACACTGCACTGTATCACTCTATAAGTAAAAATGAGCAGGTATGAACAGGTATTTTAAGCTGCCTTGCTCGTGTCTTTATTGTGGTCTTGGGCCCTCGGGAGGAACCTTTTCTTTTACTTTAAACCTCAAAAGATATATTAAAGAAATGGCTAATTTTTAGACTAAAACAATTATTGAACACACACGGCTGTTGAGGTGAAATTTGTATAGCACCATTCTCTGAATCTGTCTTTTTCATGGGCAAGACAAGCTCAAGGATATCATATGAGTTTCATGGTTCATGAGTTTAATTAAAAACTATGGTAACACTTTACCATAAGGTTAATTAGTTAAGATTAGTTAACTAACTTAGTTAACATAAACTAAGAATGAACAATACTTAATAGGTACTAATTGTTAATACTTAAAATAAAAAAAATTAAAAAAAATTACTAACAAAACACTTACTAACAAAGACAACTCTTTTTATATATATATATATATATATATATATATATATATATACTGTATATATAATATATATATATATATATATATATATATATATATATATATATACAGTATATATATATATATATATATATATATATATATATATATATATATATTATTATTATTATTATTATTATTATTATTATTATTCATTTATTTATTTTTTGACCTGTGACCATTAATAGACATCAGAGAATCATGAACTTAATTCTATCACTGGACTTAATTTTATTATTGAGCTAAACTATTAACCTTTTCAGGTGGCACTTCAAGTAAATGGTCAAAAAAGGTAGTGGAATCCCTGCATTGCATGTAAATATTAAATGACATGAATTTGTACATTTAATGTGTTTGAAAGACAAAAGTAATACATGGTTAAATGACTCACTGAGTGATAATTCAAATAATAATGAATGTGTTCGTCAGGAGTTGATTAGAAGTGCAATGTTGAGAAAGCACTTCTTAAAAGTGAAATGATTTCTGTAACTCCTGTGATCAAATGCTGTGGGTCTCAATTTTCAGTGACAGGCTCATGACTAAAGCGTGTAATTCCACAAACCCTGAAGACCTTCTGAACGTATCCAAGGATTTCAAAAATAAGATCAAAAAGAAGTATGGAGAATCAATGACTTATGAATAATTTACTACCATTGATGAGAATAACATGTAATCATGTAATCAATAAAAAAGTATTTTAGCATTTCAAAATTGAATAGAATCCAATAACAAGTACTTCATTTTTGGAGTCTGATTATGTAATCCAGAGTATGTAATCAGTTACTACCCAGTACTGTATAGTTCTCCCCATATATTTCCCCAAGTTATCCATCTTATGATTCGTTTAAATTCTTCAGCTCTGCTTTTACTGCTTACTCTTTTGAAGACAGTGCTGACCTGAGTAAGGTTCCGTGTGTTTTGCGGGGTCGTGAGCGCGACTGCACTGTTCCACCAGTTCACCAGCAGAGGGAGGCAGCTACATGTAGGAAAAACACAGCAATGTGTCAACAGCTGTCTGGCAGAAATAGCTCACAGAGACCACTACTGCGTGTGAAAGACTTCACACAGAGTCTCTCATTACTACGCATGAATATTAATTACAAGTATCAACAAGACCATAAATGAATATCTCTTTAATTTCAAATGTAAGACTCTCTATTACAGACGTTTTACAGGCCCAATCATTGAGAATATTGAGGATAAATCACAGCATGAAAACAACATTAAGTGCACAATGGTAATTTGAATGCAATAAATGCTGCAGTAGGAGTAACTGTAGGCTCATCTGCATAAAATGCAGAGATTGTTGTGTTCTGTAATAAGTGGGAAATACAACTGTGATAGAGATGAGAGCTATTCTCTTTAATTACTGTTCTTGCTTAGTAAAATCCTTTTCTTTTTGCCGGACCCTTCAGGCACAAAGACTACCGTTCAAAAGTCTGGGGTCAGCAAGATTTTTTTTTCTAGGAACTAACTTTTATTCAGCAAAGATGCATTAAATTGATTACTTTTACAGTAAATACAATGCTATAAAAGGTTTCCATTTTAATAAATGCTGTAGAACTTCCCATTCATCAAATAATCCTGGAAAAATATATATATATGTATATATATATATACAGTGGTGTGAATAAGTTTGGAGACCCATGCTAAAGTTGCCTAAAAAGAGGAATAAAAAAATCATCTTTTGGATATTGATCTTAATTCCATTTTAATGGAATTAAGATCAATCTATTCTATTTTAATTCCTATTTTAATTCCAAAAGGCCAAGGGAACTTTATCAGGATGCATATTATCTTGGATCCATGAAATAACTGGCTTTTAAAAATAAAAATCTGCCTGACTCTATGGGAATTTAACATAGGGGTGCCCGGACTTATGCACCCTATATTTTAAGAAAAAAACATTTATTTATTTATGATACATTATTCATTCACAAAGAAAATTTGTGTCCTCATTTTTCTAATTAAGGCATTAAGATCAATATCCAAAAGTTGATTTTTTTATTCCTCTTTTTAGGCAACTTTAGCATGGTTGTCCAAACTTATTCACACCACTGTATATATATATATAGTATATATATATATAGGATTATTTGATGAATGAAAAGTCTCACACAAAATCACAGAAAAAATACTAAGCAACACAACCGTTTTCAACATTCATTTAAGAAATATTTCTTAAGACACCAAATCAGCTTATTAGAATTATTTCTGAAGGATCATGTGACACTGAAGACTAATGTAATGATGCTAAAAATTCAGCTTTGCCATCACAAGAATAAATTGCACTTTAAAATATAAACAGTTATTATATATGGTATATGTATATATTTAATAATATTACACTATTCATATTTTTACAGTATTTTTAATCAAATAAATGCTGCATTAGTGAGCATAGACACTGCTTTAATGGTAGTTTTGGTAGTAAACAAAAATCACCTAATGTACCAATGACCTAATTCAGAATCATTCATTTCTTTCTTTTATTAATAATATTATATATACTGTATATATCAACAGTCATTTAATATTGGTAAGAATAGTTGCTTTTCAAGAAAACTCAAGAAAAACTTTTGTCAAGATTACAAGAAAAACAAGATACTGAGAGCACACGACAAAAATGGCTTCTGAGGGCTTCTATGTATAACAGTAATTATTTTTTCCCTTTGGTGCCTCTATGAACCATGAAATCTATGTATTGTGATGGGGTTCCTATCTCAAGAATTAATCAGTGCTGCATATTTCTCCACACCAGTTTTCTCACAGCTTCAGTTCCCCAATGAATATCAATGGCCATGCAGACAGAATCAGAAATCTCCAGGCGAAATCTCATACTGTCTGAGGAGGTACTACATTTGAATCTATGACCGATAAAAATGTATGTTTTATATAGTATGAATACGGGTAGTATGAATGAAATTCGGACGCAACACATCCACCAAGTTGCTACCAGCATCAGTTGAGTCACCTCACTTCCTTTCATAAATCCTCTCCGGTGCCCTCACGGGATAGTAAAGTGTCCATCGAATAAGCACTTCGGAATCTCGGTGGAAGTATTATGTCATCCGGGAACTTTTCGCCTACCCTTTTTAGAATACTATGTATTTGGACATATTACGTTGCCGTACTGTTTTTTGGAAGTATTGCATTTTGAAAGCAGCGCTACTGTAGAAAGCTACAGGCATATTCGTTTTATCAGGGTTGGAGATAAACTCTGCAGGAAAGTGGATCTTGAGGGCCAGAGTTGCCCAGCCCTGGCTTAAAAGGGAACACTGGACGTGTGTGAGATTGAAGCTCACCTTGGTGGTGTCCTGGACAACAGAAGTTGACTGATTGTGAGGAAAGTTTCCCTCAGTGCTCTGTCCACTGCCAGCACTGCGACTGCTGCCCATGCTGCCTGCACTCCCCACACTGTTCCTGTCACCTGCTAAAAGAAAGAGGAACAGACAAACATAGGAGAAAGAAAAAGAACAGTGGGTGAAATATATGTCCCCCCTCCCCCACTCCTTTTCTTCACATTGGCCAACAAATGGGGGAAAGATTTTTTGCACTGCGACCTCTGAACTCCAGCAAGGTATCTCTAGACTTAGGGAATGTTAAGGAGTACAAGGGAAAGTTGAGGAGGACTCATGAAAATTAAGGAACGTGAATGGCAAGCTTGACAAGATAGGACAAATATAGCCTAGGAGAACAGGAACCCTGTGAAACAGCTGGGAAAAATTCAACTTGACATGAAAGTCACTGGTGTACAGGCTTTAGGACCATCGGACGGACGTGAGGAGGAGAAAACAGACTAGGGGAGACGCACAACTCTTACCATTTGGAGAGGTCCTGAGGACCCAAATATCCTCTGGCTCTTTGGGACTAGCTGGCTTACACAGGGCACTGGGACTGTCGGGAAGCACACCTAGCAAACACAAATACTTTAAAGGGCCAGAGGGGGAGTCTTAAGGCCGACATCAAAGAACTTCCAGCGACGAAAGCAGACTGTGTTCTCGTCATGTCACGTTAAAAGTTGTTGCTTGAACACAGCGCAAAGACTACAGCCAATGGCCAACTAGCACATACTGTACATTGTGCAGGGAATAAATGTCTGTATCAGATGGTGGTAGTAGTTCTATATTCGTCACTCAAAAAGGGAAACAAGGACTGCGGATTATACAAACCACAAACAAAGTAGCACTTGCTTTCCATTTCGAAACATGTTGATCACTTTCTTCATTACAGACGACCATGTCGTTATGAAAATATTCGCATAATACAATTCTCAGGTAAGTAAAATCACCTAAGAGATGACGTAAAATTAGAACAGCCGTCTGTGTGTCTTCATAACTTGAATTCATCACATTCACTTTTCTTCTTGTGCAGTGATTCGCTAAAGTGAAAAGCCAATCACAGACTGCCGGATGCTGATTCAACATGCCAATTGGCCAAAAAGCCACCAATGAGATCCAAGATCCAAGAACACACCCCAAAAAGTGAGCTGACAGCCGAATGTTGGTTTGGTGTGTTATGGCATTTATGGCTGAGTGCTGATCAAAATAAGCTTTAGACTAGGAATCACAAGGAAAATTTGATGGGCTAAAGTGCAGATTGTGTTGTTCACATGGTCAGGGATGGAGGACTTTTTTGCTCTCAAAGATGCTTGAATGGGCTCTTGAGGTTAGATTTTAAGTTAGCAGGCGTGTACACTTGAACTGATCCTTAAGAGTCTAATTCTCACGCTACCTGAGTGTTGATCCAGCCCGTTGTGGTGAGTCAGTACAGGACGGGTGGATGAGTATAAGGTGTAGGAGTCATCAGTGTGAGAGGTGTGATGAGAACTGTGTGAGGGCAGGGCTCGGGACAGAATATGATGTCTCTGGCTGGGCAGTGAGGCCTGCCGTGAGAGAACGCCCCCTATGGACACAACATTGAAACACAAATGAGGCACCATGGGCCAACGCGTTCTCATCCCAAAGCGCCATATAGGACGCTTTTGCAAAAGCGTAAATATCCAACGCACATGGCACCCTTTAACGTAAAATGAGACGCTGATATATTTGGGCAGAAGGCGCCCCCTAGTGGTCTAACCCTTACCCTACACCATACCTAAACTTAACCATTAACCGAAGCGTCTCATTTTACGTTAAAGGGTGCCATGTGCGTTGGATATTTACGCTTTTGCAAAAGCGTCTTATATGGCGCTTTGGGATGAGAACGGGCTCCATGGGCACAAATGACACATCACCCTTGAGAAAGATGATTCCATTAAAGACATTCTTTAAATGATACAAACAAAATTATATAAAGTTTGGGGTTAGTAAATGCTGGGCTTTTGAATTTTCCATTCCTCAAAACTTTTAAGCTGTTTCTTGAGCACCAAATCAGCATATTAGAATGTATTCAAATTTAAAATCTAAAATTTTAAAATATATTAGAATAGAAACCAGACAATATTAGTGTTTTACTGTTTTTTTGATCAAATAAATGTAGCCTTGGTAAGACATATTTCAAAAACATAAAAACAAATCTTACCAACCCCAAGCTTCTGAATTAGTGTAAATATAATTTTTTATTATTCATTAAATGAATAATAAAAGAAAAGTGAAAAAAGGAAATGACATCTCCCCCAGAAATGAAAATTCTGTCATCGTTACTCATCCACAAGTTGTTCCATGTCAACCTGTTTTTCTCCATACAATGGGGTCTAAAACAACATTGAACTTTCATTGTATGAACAATCAAATGTTCTGCCATTCCATAGAACAGAAAAGTCATACAGGTTTGGAATGACAGAATTTTCGTTTTTGTGTCAACTATCCTTTTAACACGAAAGACGGAACTGGGGAGGTTTCAGCTTCTTGATGCGATAAAACGGGTGCGAGAAAAAAACCAAGTACAATGATATAAGTGGTTGGGTCTTAATCTGGCGGTTTTGCCTCCATCATGTCCTCTTCAGCAGTATTGAAGCAGGAGCTTATAGTGGAGGCTAATTTTGTACGAGCAGCAGGATGTTGATGCTGTGACATGACAGAATGCTGAGTCTGCCGCTGCGCTCGCTCTTGCGCACAAAAAAAAAATACCAGACTCATTTCAGGGAAAGATTTTCTGCTCAGGCCCTAGCAATCTAAAGCCAGCTCCCCCTTACATCGAGGCACATGGCTCTAAAGCTGATCCGCCTGCCCCAATATGTTCCTGTTAATCCCATTAAAATGTGTGTCTGCATGAGCCTTTATCAATGGACTACATGTCCACATGTCTGTCCAAGAATTTATGAGAGCTGCCCTAGTTCAGTATGCATTATTTTGATATGCATACTGTGGGGTACAAATGTCAGGGAGCGCATTTAAAATTGGGATTCAAATTCTATTTTAAACCTAAAAATAATGAAACTTTCAGGATTATGAGAGATTAAAAAAAGTTATTAAATACAATTCTTCAATACTGTTAGGTCAAAAACTTATGCAGCTTTCTTTAAAATCAAGTCAAGTATATTTATATAGCACTTTTCACAATATAGATTGCATCAAAGCAGCTTCATAGCAGCTAAAGCAAAATGGTGATTTCAATACAAAGGGCACAAGTGCACAAAGTTCTACAGATGGTGGTGCCAAGATTATTAATCAAAGTTATTCATAAAATTACAAAACTAACATTTAAATTAGATAATATTTGGCAGAGTGCTGGAAAAAGTTTGAAGCAATTGAAAGAACTTCTTAAAGGGATAGTTCACCCAAAAATGAAATTTCTGTCAGTATTTACTCAACCTCATGTTGTTCCAAACCTCTACGTGTTTATTTGTTCTGCTGAACACAAAGGAAGATATTTGGAAGAATGTTTTAATCAAACAGATCTCATTCCCCATTGACTACCATAGTATGTATTTTTTCCTACTATGGTAGTCAATGGGGAATGAGATCTGTTTGATTAAAACATTCTTGCAAATATCTTCCTTTGTGTTCAGCAGAACAAATAAACACGTAGAGGTTTGGAACAACATGAGGGTGAGTAAATACTGACAGAATTTTCATTTTTGGGTGAACTAACCCTTTAAATTTCATTAAATATTTAATAGTAGACTTCAAATCAATCAATCAATCAATAGTAGACTAATAATGTTAAATAAAAATAAAAAACATTCTGCCACAATACCATGTTTACAGTTTGTATTGATACATTAAATAGATGAATTTTGGTGATATGTGGATTGAAAAGCCTTTTATAAATTGTTTTTTCATGGAACAATGTCTCTCTTGGTTTATACGTCAGTGCTGGTTGATCTGATATCTGTGGTTTACAACAGAGAATTCTGTGCCAACTTTGAACGCTTCCCAACAGATCTCAGTGCAATGTTGTTAATTCTGTGGCAAATTCAAACTCTTTCTCACTGGATCTTCCAGCACTGTATAGTAACGATGCTGCATGCTTGAGAATTGATATCATCCCACAAGTAAACCTATTCTGAGCTTGCGCTGTGCTGTTTATCATTTCTCCGCGCAGCTACGAGTAGTGCGGTTTCCTTTCGTTTGCAGTTTGAAGCTACATTGTGTAACTCTTTTAGTTTATTCTTAGCTAAAAACACTTAGTTCTTTCAAAAATATATGTGCTCATTAATGCATATTTACTTCGTTGAAGTAATAAAGTATTCTCGTGAGTGTATAATATGCCTTTGAAAATACACACGGGTAAGGGGTTCTAATGTCGGTCGCCATGTTGCCCCTCCATCTTGAAAGTACATTAGCCAAAGAGGGACATACCCGTTAATTCAAGCTTCGCCTTTCGCGTTTACGTTTGAGTTAACACTCATGGACGAGGTCGAACTGGAAGTCATGTTAATCTTGGACTACATTGGCCACCGTAGGAGTTAAAACGAAATCGGAATTAAGAGGAACAGAAACTAATATTTACACACAGTGTAGCTTTAAAAGGCAGGTCTTATCAGTTGGGCAATGTACTGGTGATGCCAGTGTGACCTCTAACAAAATTTAGTTGCACCAGCAAGAAAAAAGGTTGCAAAATGCAACCATTTGGTCGCATTCTAGAGCCCTGATAATTCAGAATGAAAAACATTTTATTGATAGAGGAAACCCTATTTTTTGGACCCCATAGCATCCTTTAAAAAAATAAGACATAGGGTAGATAGCCCAAGTAGATAGGTTGTCATAATTTGACAATGGACCATATTTTTGTGGTAAACAAATAAATGCTTGAGTATGTTGAACAATAAACAGATTTTTTCAATATACCTGATCTGCGACTAATAACCTCCACGATGGAGGGAGGAAAGAATCCCACACGGTCAGTGCCTCTCTGACTGTCATGGATGTGCCCTTTCCAACGACCATCCATGTGCTGCTCTAAGACCTGGAACAGACCAATGAGATCACAGGATATTCAGGACCAACAGGTCTTACACCATGCCCTAACCAGACATACAACGAAACATGATCTTTTCCATGTTAAATGGTGTTTTTGTCCTAACCAGTCGCAACCGTGTGGCTAGAAGAACAACATTGAAAATTTGACTGATTTTACCTTTATAGCCACACAGAAAGCGACAATGGATAATTTACCTCAGATCTTGAAAATAAATGAAAGGATTATTTAAAGTTCAAACTGTGAACTCAACAAACAAGTGTATTCTATGACAAAGACTATTTCCATTCACTCTTTTAATAATGTTAAAATGGTGTAATATTACATGAATTTGATTATGCACTTATCAATTTCCTTAGAGAGACTCCACCCACATGCTCTTCTAATTGGCTGTGTTTTTGTTTTGATTCTGTCTCCTAGTAGTGTCACGTCTGGTGTGGACAGACAAAAAGCTTGTCGCTAGAATCGTATCGCATTAGAATGCTTAATTTTTTAGAGAATTAGAGCTAATGACACTTCTCTTTTATTTTTGTATGTAATCATTTTAAATAATCTACAATTGAATTATAGCCCACAGTGTACCCTCCACTATTCAAAGTGAAATGAACTTTGTGTCATCAAGTTTTAAATAACCATCTTCTAACCTTTTCTTCTAACCTCATGGCCAAGCCTGTGATCGTTTCCTCATTTGGCCGAACAATGTGGTAAATTGAGTCAGTTGACATTCCACACATGGCAGAGATGACGCGTGTAGTAGTGAGTGCATCTGACTGACATGAATTGAATTTCTGTTTAAAGCAGGTCTGGAAATAGACACTACGAATACATTTAATGTTTATGTACAACGCATGTCTTTTAGAAGTCTATTAAATAAAAGAAAAATTACAAATCTGGTAATGGGGCAACAACATGCCCCTTGTATGATTGCATGGCCAATGTGAAGAAGATTGAATAAACAAGTGGACATGCAATATTGATTTGGGTTGAAATAAATCTTTTATCCTAGCTTTGAAAACACTAGTTTTCTTTTTTTCTAAAGTTTCTAATGTTCAGTCCATTTTAAAATAATTATATTAAAATGTTTGACTGCTCAAATTATAATTTTTTGTATAGTTTATATACTTTTATAGTATGCATATAGTATTTTGTTTATTCTTTAGTAATTTTAAGTTTTTTATACTTCTATTTAGCTTTATTTTTATTTCAGTTTTAGTAATTTGAGTACTTTCAGTTAGTCAATATTTCAAATTTTTATTTAGTCTTTCACTTAATATTTATATTTTAATATAAAAAAAGAAAATTATCATTTCAATTGGTCATTGCAGTGTTATTGTTAGGTAGATTAAAATAAAGCATTATTGAGATCCATAAAAAGCTATAAATAATTCTAATCAATAATTTTATCATAATTGTATGCATTTAAAATGTATTTGGAATTCAATTTACCACCTTTTTTTCCAGGAAAGGAACCTCACAATGCTATTTATACCAAGTAAATAGTGCTGAGTTTTGAGAAAAGAATGACAAATACTCATGGCAAGTGCTATTTCAGCATTTTAGTGCCTGGGTAAACTACTGTTCGTGATAAGTAAATACTTTTTTTGTGCAGAAATACAATCTGCAAATGAACCACGATGTTTAATGATCTCACCCCATAGTGCTTTGTTTCTCAAAACCGCATTTTAAAGGTCCACATCTGTCTCTTAAAGGTGAATAACGGTTCATATTTTACCTCTTACTGTATTAATCATTGATATATGTGTTAATTTACCCCTAATTCAACTCCCTAAAGTCCTAATATTGCTGGAAGGGAACTATCTTTCATTGCAATCTTTTAAAAACACTTTAAGTCTCGTATGCCTCACTGCCACAAAAGCACAACAGTCTTTTATGCTAGCAGAATGGACGCCTAAAGCTATCTAGACAGACAAGGTGTGAACAGAGGCATGGCGTACATGCGCCACTGAGCCTCGGGCTGCACTCTATAGAGTCTTTTAGTGGGGGTGAAACAGACTGTTATGAAGGGAAACTAGGCTGAAAACACACTACTATAGCACAAACAACAAGCTACGGTTCATTCAAGTCAGACATCAAAGGTTATTAACAAAAACCTGTTGCAACATGCTAAAGTATTCTCTGTAGGGAAGACCAAATTACCATCCTCACTTGTTCACCTTACGGCTTTGTCTCTTTGTCTACGGCTGAGTGTTGTCTTGCATCTAAGTGCATATTTTCAGCGTTCTAAAACTGCGTTCAGCTTTACTGTTTCTTCCACTAGTCTAAACTTTGTTGTTTTGGGTTTTGATGTTTCTGTGATTCATCAGAATACAGTTATTTGGTAAGAATGCAGATCAAGGCAACGCTCAAGCACATTGCCAATTAAATAGGCCAATTGCATAACGCACATTATACAGTATTAAATTAGGACACCTCTTGTGAGAGATAGAGGGGTGTTGCTTTTAAGCCTACCATGATTACATCTCCTGCCCGGATGTTGAGTGCAGTGGGGTCATGGAGATTCCAGTAGTCCTTCAAAGCTCTCACCTGCAATGCTCCACTGGCGTCTAATGTCACAACCCAGGACAATGCATGCATGAATGATTGAGAATGATAGAGACAGAAAAACAGTTTGCATTGAAAATATTCATCATTCCTCTACTCGGGGTGAAAGTCATTTTCTGAGCATTCTTGATCCTAACCAAGATAACTACCTGAAATTCTAAAAGTTCAAGACTCAGGTGGGGTTTGTTCCAATAAGCAGAATTTAAAGAGGAGTAATGTAGTGTTTAAATACTCTGAAGCACATCTGAAAATTTAATGAGGAGTTGAGCTCAGAACGGGGATGCTAAACATCCCTCATCTTCAAACACAGCTCCTTCAGCTGTTTTAGTGCTCGTATCAAAGCGTGCACTTCAAAGACAACAAGCTGCTGGATTACAGGAGGGACAGTAGAAGGGTGCAGCGACTAAACATATTCAGACACACAATACGCCCAAAAAACACAGACACGCAAACCGGTAAACTAAACTTTAAGCTAAATCTGCCATTGATATGCCCCAGGACAGCAACTCTATAAGCTTTATGACAAAAGCAATGAAAGCATATTCCCAGAAGAAACGAACACACAACACAAAACACCCTCTAGACAACTATTGTCTACATCCAGTCGAAGCTAACAATGAACAAAACCAAGTGGCTTGGCATTAAATAACATAAGGTACATCAACAGTAGAAGGAAAGGAAAGAGATAAGGAAATGGAAGATGAAGGATGGAAAGGAAAGGGCAAGGAAGGAAAAAAGACGTTTTGAATTTTGAGTCACCTCTTAGGAGTTGTTTGATTTCTTTGCTGGCATGTGAAGTGGTGAACTGGTTCACAATATCCAGGGCTGTTTGATTGTAGGTGTTGCGGTGGTTCACATCAATCCCAGTCTAAATGACAGATAGTAAACGAGTGGATTGAAAGTTAGTTCAGTAAAGAAAAAAAAACCCACAGTATTTATTCTTGATAATAATAAGTTGACTTTAAAAACTCTCTTAGAAATCAATAATGTATTGCCATAGTGCATCTTGTGTAGGGACAGATAATATGCAAATGGTATTATTCTGTATCTACTTACATCAAGCAGTAATTTTACTACTTCCGTTTTCCCGTAGAGGGCAGCCTCGTGCAGAGCTGTCCCGGATTTAGTGGTTCTGTTTATGTCAATCCCAGCTTTTAACAGCAATCTAAAAATGAGCGATAGACCACACAGACACATGAGCCATCCAGTCCACAAGACACAAACAAAATCACTCATGTCTTTAATAAACAGTACAGTCAGCTGCTCACTACCTGACATGGTCATCAGGTTTTATACTATGTCCTTTATTAAATTGCTATTTACCAAATTACTTAAATTGACCAAAAATATTGATTTCTGTTTCATTGTTTTCTGTTATCCCTCCAATTGCAGTGAGTGGGCTGAACTGAAACTAAAACCACATGATGATATTAAGTTCAAGACCACCAGGCAAGGGGTCAAAAGTCAAGGCAATTTAAAGCTTTTGAGTAACAAAAACAGCCTGTGAATCAATCAATTTTACATTCTGAGTGTCTCCTCAGGATTCAGTATCCAAAGCAGCAGTACAGTCCACATTATCCATTGAGCTAATTGGTTAATTCAGCCAACTGAATAGATTAAAGGCTTGCCTTCCCTTTTTAAAGGAGGTCACCAAAAGTGTTCACCCATTTAGTCATGATGACAGAATATGGACCAAATTTGTAGAACTGTTTGGAGACTACTTTAATTACCATTAACAACAACCAATATTCTTGTGCGTCCCACTGAAGATAGTAAGCCATACAGGATTGGAACAACATGAGAGTGAGTAAATGCTGACGGAATGTTCATTTTTGGTTGAACCATCAGTCAATAATCAACATGACAATAATAATAATTATAATAATAATTGCACCCGAGTAAAAATGTTCATTGATATTTTTTTTAACCCGTCATGAAATAACAAAGCATAAATTCATTAAGTTTTTAAGAAGGCCAAGCAACTGAATGTTTTATACTAAGTGTAGAGCTGCCGCCCGTTACGACTGTCATTCTTTCCCATGTTTACAAGTTCCAGCATTCCAGAAAGGCAGTGGAGGGGAGAGTTGAAGCTTGAACTTTCATATATGGTTACTGCTAGAGGAGCATGTTGAGCAGCTGACTGGGTGGTGTAACCCTATTCGGACTCATTCCTAAGCATGTTACCATCACAGCGCACACAGAGGGGAGGGCAGCCCAGGTCAAAACATCCACACACTAACAAACGCACTACACAGTACACTCATTCCACACCTTCTTCTCTTCACCTCACTTGCTCGACAAACATGTCAACAAGGCGCCCAGCCAAAGTCTGCCTTACTGACAGCTAAATAGCACACTACAGTATGTTGCAAAAAAAGACAGACAGCCTCCCTCCCAGCATTCTTGCATACTAACATCCCCATCTTGCAACTGACTGCCTACAGAAGTTTAAGGCATAATAGGTAAGCTCCAGATGCGACGGACGTATCAAAATGTAGGTAGTAAATTTATGATGCCTTCTCGATTTTGGCCAAATTGTAAAATGCCACTGGATATATTCTCTGTGAAGAATGCATACACTCACCTAAAGGATTATTAGGAACACCTTACTAATACTGTGTTTGACCCATTTTCGCCTTCAAAACTGCCTTCATTCTGTGGCATTGATTCAACAAGGTGCTGATAGGATATTGATAGGATAGCATCTTGCAGTTGATGGAGATTTGTGGGATGCACATCCAGGGCACGAAGCTCCCGTTTCACCACATCCCAAAGATGCTCTATTGGGTTGAGATCTGGTGACTGTGGAGGCCATTTTAGTACAGGGAACTCATTGTCATGTTCAAAAAACCAATTTGAAATGATTCAAACTTTGTGACATGGTGGCCATGAAGGGATGGACATGGCCAGAAACAATGCTCAGGTAGGTTGTGTCATTTAAACAATGCCCAATTGGCACTAAGGGGCCTAAAGTGTGCCAAGAAAAGATCCCCCACACCATTACACCACCACCACCAGCCTGCACAGTGGTAACATGGCATAACATGGCTAAAAATAAAATAAATCTAAGATTATGGATGGATTAGAAATGTAAAATCATAAATATCATATATAATTACGTTAAATGATAGGAAATGATGATCATAAACTTATTTTCCATTGAACACTTTAAAATAATTAATAAAAAATGTATCAAGAATAATGTAAATGGATTAAAACTGGTGTATATGAAAATATAAAAATATGAAAATATACTGAAAATATACTATTTTACCCAATGTTTGTGTGCACAATGTAATTTGTTTTTATATACCTATTAGATTACCGAGCCATTACTTAGACTCGAGTAATGAAAATTAATTGCAAGTCAATTAATTGCAAGTCAAGTCTCCCTGCTATATGTGTGGAGCAGGGACGTGCTGCCTATGTCAAGCACTCCAAATCATTCACTTTTGAGGTTCCATGACCGTAGTATATTTTAAGTATACTGTAGGTAGTATGCAGCTCACTATGTTTTTAAAAAGAGCTCACCTTTCCTCTGAAACAATGACAACATTTTGAGTGCACAAGCTGATATAGACTTAAAGGAACACAACAGGATTCAAGGGGTTAGGGAAAAGTGGACCTGATGATGTCCTTATGGCCATTGCGGGCAGCCAGATGCAGGGGGGTGTTATCTCTGCCATTTCCTTCTAAGAGAGCTACCACCATGTTACTGCTCAACAACAGCTGGGTCACCTGTAAGAAAGAATTAAGAAACAGTGAGAAACTGATCCAAAACTAGTGAACTTTCAGACAAAAAGCACTATAGTTTTGCCTATTTGGGTCTAGACAAGATGTCACTGCCAATTTAAATGACAGGAAAACAACCATCCTGGTTGTCAGCCCGGGCATGTGACTTTGTACTCCATGGCATTGGGAATCTGTCAAATGCAATTCAGTTTCCAGCTGGGGCAGAATCCTCCTCTAGCCCAGCAACTGACTCGCTGGTGTGCTGCTAAATTAGACTCATTCCATCAGCCTGACTCTGCAGCATTTGCATTCTAGAATTCCAAATGACTTGGGCGAAAGATTAAATAGAAATAGTTCACCCCGGTGAATCTAGTTTGAGGTGAATTAAAGAGCTCTCTGTCATCAGGAAAGCTATCTCAGGCAGTTGAGCTTACTGATATTCTTTACCACTGAATGTGCACGTAATACAGTCTTCGCAAAAATAAACAAGACCTCTTTCAAGCTTTATGTCACGAACTCTTGCTTATAATTATATTTGAGAATGCGGTGTGAAAATAGATTCGGCGCTATAAGCTTACACTGAGACTGGGATAAATACGTTAGAAGTTATAAAAGGCAAAGCAATTTTAAATCGGATGAGCCCTAACTATATTGATGCAGAAATACCAATAGATGAACAATTCCACACCCACATCATCAAGCTCCGGTGAAAACTATTGTGCCCACATATTCTTACATTATCAGATTATGCATCAGCTGATATTTTATATTGATGTAGGCTAATTATTTAGATGTTATGGCCAATAACAATAAATTATCAATATAAAATGCTATACTATTTTGTATAAATAAAGAATAAAACACTAAAAACAAAAAAAACTGGAGATGCACCGATTGCGATTTTCTGTGTGATGTGTATATAGTGTGATGCCGATACCGATTTTCTTTCAAAGAACTATAATTGACAGCATATACAAAGAAAAGTATAATTTTTTTTCAGTTTCATTAAATAAGGGCTTTACAGACTTAATAAATTAAGAATAAATAAATGCAATAGATTCAGAATAGAGATATGAAATAAGCACAGCTTTAGGTTTTTCAGGTGGGTATACAGTATATTCAGGTAATAAATACTACAGAAATTAAAAAACAAAACTGGATACTCTTCATTGTAAAAATGAAATAAAGATTAATGCTTACAATTAGTTACAAAAGTTATTCAGTCAAGACAAGAGAGTGATTTTCTTTTCTTTTGTTCTTTTATAACATGATAAACACCAGCAGAAACATTAGACAGCTTTCACTTTAAGAGTTAATGCACGGATCCGATATAATCTTACACAACTTACGTTATCTTTCTAAACTTATTAGATTCCAAATCTGACTGTGTTTAACTAAATAAATAGCTGCCAAGACGAGCGTTGACCATTTAAGAGCAGTAAGACACACATTTTGGTACTAGTTGCGACTCACAAGCTGCTTGAGACTGAGGCACGGCTTTCTGTATATAAAGTCTTTGCTACGGATACATGTAGGCCTGACAACAAATTAAATTACTCTAGCCTGGATGCCAGCCCGAACTCCGCCCACAACATTTTTTGATCGGGAAGTTTGGTCTGGACTCGATCAATTGAGGAGTAATTATGATCAGGCAAAAGATGTTCGGGCCAATCAAATTGCCAGGGCGGGCTTTATACGATGATGGACAGATGATCTTCAGAGACGTAATCATCACATTATCAAAGAGCGCTTAACTGGTTTCCATCAGAGATGACTGCAGCTGGAGAATTGAGATGTATAGATTCCGCTGTTGTAAAATAAATCGACAGCGCATTAATTTTAATAGACAAACAGAAAACTGCAATCAAGGCATTGTCGAAAAAGATATTTTTTGCCGTCCTTCCAACATGATTCGTCAAAAGCGTAACTTATCAGCTGGCTCCGATGGTCGCTAAGAAGATGGGACGTAATGAAAAGCCTGTGGTCGTTGTGGTTTCTCCTTTGGTCGCACTCATGGAGGACCAAGTAAAAGAAGCAACACACTTCTAAAATAAGTAAGTTCTGTAGTTGACAACTGTGAAATGCAAAGTAGTTGCCTTACTGCGTTGCTCTGATTGGTTGTAGGTCTACCGACTATCCAATTGAGTGCAGAGGTTTTTTTTTCCTGGTTCGGTTAACACACCTCATAAATCAAAACCCTATGAAGAAGTTTCAGACTCATATTCTCACTAGAATATGAGTATGACGAAGTCAGGCTACTTTAATTCGTTAACAAAAGTTAATTCTGTTTGATATCGTTGGTCAGCACTGCACAGGTAAACTGCAAGATTATTATCAATCTTTTTCTTTTTTTTTGTTTTGTGGCATCTCTGATATATGCTTTTTTAAAACCTGAATAGCACAATTCAAACACATTAATCCCACTGAGAGGGTACAGTGGCAGGCCAAGTTACAAGGTCACAACAAATGTTTATGTATTATTATTATTGAGAGCGCCACTCTCAAAATCTCTTCCCAGCTCACCTTGAGTCTGCCAAACTCACAGGCCAGATCCAGAGGGGTCTTCTTCACGTTGTTGACAGTACAGGGGTTGGACTGGTGTTGTAGTAGCATTTCAGACTGAGGGACACAGAAACAGAGATACAGTGAAAGGTCAGAGGAGCGGTGTCTGCCTGCATAAGGTTTCTGGGATTACACAATAGAAGACAATGTCAAAAGTCATATCAGTTTTAGTCTACACATATATGAAAAGCTGAAATAGCATCTAAAAAGGTCAAGGCCTAAGAGGGAAAAGCCAGAGAAATACCATTGATCCTTTGTAACTAATTCTGTTATATGGCACACCGTATATCCTGTGACATTTTTTGTAAGAAAAGGTAGGACACATGGAAAGGGAATACTCAGCATTTCAAACCAAACAACTGGTCAATCTAACCTGGTTCGGAGAGGTATCATTATACACAGCTAGGTTAAGTAAAAAAAATGCATTGTTTTGAAACAAAGCCCTGGATCTGCAAAGTAATGTTATATCTTTGCTAGGAGTAGGGACCTCTTTTTTGCCTTGAGCGTGAACCGACATGTCTAGCATTTTCATTCCTTTCCCTTTAGACAACATAAAACACTATGCATCTGTTTTATCTAGCTGCAAGAGATCTGTAAACAGCCTCAAAAGCAATATTTTGGTTTGAGTCGCAGCACATTCCTAAGTCACTATCAGTGCTGCATTCAGCCTTTTCGCCCATTTATTTTGAACTACTAAGTGATGTATCTAGTGATGCACTGAAATTTTGGCAACTGAAAAAACTTGTTTTAAAATACTATTAAATTGAATGAAATGTCAGTGCTTCAGTAAATGATTTTGGCCCATTATGTTACATTTACCTCAGAAAAGCCATTAATTTACATATTTCATTAGTCATAAAAATAGAGGGCTTTTTTAAATAAATGTGATTTATTAATTGATTATTAAATAAACTTTATTTTCTGCTTTCCTTTATATTCAATTCGGGGGAAAAAAATCACTGAGGTGCATCACTATAACAATATAACAAATGCAGATCCATAGTTTGTGATGGCAATACAAACTGATTTTCATAAAAAGAAAAATAATTTGTTGCATGGAAATCACTTGGTTTAGACTGATTTTAACACACTCTGGTGTGATTGCTTAGTTCCTTTGAGTGTGGTCCATTTTTGTAAGTGTGCACCAAACAAGAAAACCGAGACCTACATTTTCAGGGGGTCTCTGTCCACATCCATATTAACTCTGGTACGGTTCGGCTGAAATATGAATGTAACGGATCACAGACATCTCAACAAACCAAAAACAGTATTTGATGTCACAGTTCAACACAGGAGTGGGAACCGCCGTTTCCTTGCAGCACATGTTCATTTATGTGCAACAGAGGAATTCCTTACATTGTTTTGATTCGCTTACACACTTTATTAGCTCTTTGTGAGTTCTCAGCTGGTAAGAAAATACCACTATATGAACACGCATACAACGTGCATTTAGTCCAATGAGACGGTTGTGGCCCTATCTTTATGCCTTATGTTTTGTAGCTTTAGGTTTAGTGTTAAAAATGACAGCATGAATGCCAAACGAACCAGGACTGAATGTAAAGTTTATTTTATGGTCCAGACCAAAAGGTCTGAATACATCAGTACAAGTCCCCACCATACCCGTCAACTAAACCTAATACCAAACCCAATTCTGTACGCAACTCTAGAATCTACACAATTTGAATCTTGATATTGTTGTCCCTTGTGTCAGCTTAGACAGGCACAAATTGGTCAAAAGTAGTGAGGTACGTACCACCTCATGGTGTCCGTACTGTGCAGCCAGGTGGAGAGGGATCTGTCCATCGTGTGAAGCCCCATTTACAGAAGCTCCAGCTCTCAGAAGCATTAGTACAGTCTCGGCCTTCCCCTGCCAGGCAGCATAGTGCAATGGACGCATACCTTTAACAGTGAGCAGAAAATCATTATTTTCAAAGCGTCTAGGTTTTTTTTTTTCACGCTGGGAAAGAAACTGTGCTTTCTTTGGTGGCACAATCATTTTTCTTTTAAAGGGGCTAAAAAATAGAATTTAGAAACCCATTACTAGCGACACCGGTGGCTTTTAAGTGAACTGCAGCATGCAACTTTTTGCTCGTGCCTGCCCTGCACTTGTGCACATGTAAAGTACAAGATACTGAACGTAATTTAAGCCAATAAATGTAAGCTTTTTGATTTTTTGCTTAGACATAAAAAAAAAGTTGGAGATATACTGTTAACGAACATCCTGAGACTTCCACACTGCTGAATGCAATGTTTAGATGAAGATATATTTTCTGCACGCTTTCATCTCATTAACAAAATATAAACCTGACAGCACTGAGAAAGTTGTTAAGAAAGCATCTGATCATAGCAATGTGGATATGTTTGTACCAGCTTTCCAATTCACTGGCATCATGTCGACAGATGAAATAAATACACTGTTATGATAGTTTATATATAAAGTAAATTTGAGACTAAACTACATATAAACTACATATATCTAACTATGTGAGACTACAGTATAGTTTGAATCCCTTTTCTTTGCATGACACATTGACATTACAGAATGTCATTTTCAGCATTATCCTGAACATTGTATAAGCATTGATTCCATGTGTCATTGAACAAAAGAGAGGTTCTAAGGAGAGTTTTTTTGGTGGAAAGTGTTGATATGGAAAAAGTACAATAAAAAAAACATTGCGAAATAAAAAAACTTATAATAATGGTAAGAAATGGGATAAAAATTGTTAAAAAATAAAATCTCACCGTTACTGTCTTTGATGTCCACAGTGGCCTGTGCCTCCAACAGCAGAGACAAGAGGTCAGTGGTGCCAGTGAGAGCCGCATGATGAAGAGCTGAAAAACTGAAGAATAGAAATTTAGGGAAAAGTCCTGAAAACTACACAAATTTCCTGGAAACTGTTAAAAGCTACTTAGATCTCTGAACTTATATGTTTATTGGTCAAATTAAAGGTGCAGTGTGTATTTTTAGCGACATCTAGAGGTTTGGTTGTGAGTTGCACTAAGAGCTCAGCCCACTGCTCACCCCACCCCTTGAAGAAGCTACGGTGGCTAAAACGGGACAAACATATTGTCGTCTGAGACAGCAGAGAATAGCCAGAGTAAGCCAAGAGTGTGTAACATTGTCACTGTTTCTGTACCACAGTACATTATAAACCACATCATGGATAAAGTTTACAAAGCTTTAGTTAGATGAGGATCAAGGGTCTTAATATATAATAGCAAATCGACGGGTTGGTGATTCCTGTTACATACTGTTATGGTCAATGACAATAGTACTAATCAGCTGTCTCACGAACATAACCAGCACATTTATCCCACATAGCAAAGCCATAAAACAGCGACGAAGTTACATGAAACAATCCAACTACATATTTTACACCACTGACAAGGGAAAAGTCACTACTCACAGTGTTTATGGCTATAGATTCTAGCTTTCTGCGGCTTCTCATTCAAGGTAGTGACGAAACGCGTTCTGTAGCGCTGTTTGTTCGATGTCGGCTACGGTACAAACATAACGTCACAATATGTTGACCTTCATAGAAGGGGGTGCCCGTGGTTATGTAGATATATATGTCTCATTCTAAGGTTATAAAAACATTATGGTTTATTAAGTAAAATCTTTATACACCACTGAAAACAGTTAAGGATGTCATATTGCATTTCTGTTAAAATGCAACAGAAAAAAATGTGTAAAAAACTGCACCTTTAAAGCATTTGGCCCAGCATCAACTCCTAAGATTTAATTAAAAAAAATACAAACCGTAAACAACAAAAACATGGATTTTCTTTTATGCCCAGATGAAACACAATGAATCAATACCTTAGAAAAGGCCTTCATTCATTTTACAAACAAAACATGACAAAAATGCATCTCATTTCCCTCTTTTTGGTGTGAAAGAGGGAAATGTTGGCCAGTCTGTGACAGTTTTTGTCACAGAGTTCAACTGAGTACAGCACTGAGATCAGTCCTGACGGCACAGCAAGAGCACACTGCCCAATTAGCACTTATATCTCTGTTTTCACAGTCGCTTTATGACAGGGCATGGTCCAGCTTCTAAAACATGCATGTGTTTGAGGGAATGGATGACTGGAAAATGAATAAAAGAAAATTTCAAGTACTGAACTCAACCTATGCGGATTAGGCCAAATAAATCTACTCCGTCACCATAAATTATGGACCCAACACAAACACATGTAATAAATAGTGTGCTGTTCAAAAGTCGTAGGGTAGGATCTACAGATATATGATACATCAAAGGTATTGTTATAAGTGGAAGAGCTGAATTAAAGGATTAACATTTCTTAAATCTGATGCCAAGTGTACTTGACCACATATTGTCCTATAAGTAAATGCCATGTAAGTAAATTCTAGGAACGGCTATTCAAATGTGTCAGTGCACTTAATAAGCGTAATAAGTTTAGGATGACTTTTCCTAGCAGACTCAGATTTTTTCTAGGGTTACTGAAACTGAATCTGGTGGAACTGTCCAAATCCCAACAAAGCATGTCTGTCTGAGACAGCTTAAAAATGTATCACAGGAACGGAATACCAAGATTTCTTTAGACCTACTTGTCTCAGAGAGGAAATGTCTGCTTTTTCACTAGCAACTAGCTTTTGCTTTATACTGTATGCTGTTGTTTGATGACAGTGTGCACCAGTTCAAATGATTCTCCAAGTAAAGTTACTCAGTATTTATTCAAAGTTTGAAGGATCGGTTTAGAGACATTCCTCCAGTCCATAAGAGTAGCTCAGCATCACAATCCCTCTGACTTGAGTTTAATGATGGATGAGACATTTATGCATTTTACAGTGTGCACTTGTAACACAACCCCATTTTACCAAAAACACCTAAAATACAGGAGAATAAAGGCCCTAAAAGAGTTCACAGTGTACAGTGGATTGATGAAAGTAAATGTAGAACATAAGTTGAGCGACCAGTTTACGATTGAAATTTCTAAAGTTGTTAATTATGAACTATTTATAAGTTATATATAAGTGCCAATAGGATTGTCATTGATTGGATTGGATTGGTACCCGCTAATAGATGCCGCTTTCAAACTCTCCTTTGAGTATCCAATTTTGAAGTGTTGATCATTGTAGCCAATGACAGACATATCTTTTGAGAGCGAGAACGAAATAGTCAGAATCCGCTCAACACCGCTCAAAACCTCTCGGTTTTAGTTCACTGCACAATTTAGACCTCTGCATGCTAGAGGGAGGGAGTATTGAACGTATAGAACGTACTGAACGTATAGCCTAAGGGATTGACCACTTCAGAAATTATAAAGGAAGTGCTCTTTGCTCACTTCCCGTTTATAACTCATATACAATTTGAATAAAAGTTTTGTTTTTAATGCTGCTTAGTACACCGCAAAGTTTCTGCATTTAACACTGTATTTAAATGCACAATTGAATCTAAAACTGCAATGATTGACAGTGATATAACTTTTTGGAATAGTTATAAATTTCCATCTGGCCAGCAGTAGTGCTTGTAAAGGAAAAAAAAATTGTCAAAATAGTCATCAAAAGGCGCGTTTCCACCGCAGGAACTTTCCCCAGGAACTAGGAATTTTGGGGTGGTTCTCGGTGTGTTTACACCGCAGGAACCAGGGTCTAAATGAAGTTCTGGGTGTAAAAATTTCCCCCTCCAGAAAGTCCCTGCTGGCAAGGTGGTACTTTTTCAGAGTTCAGGAACCTTCGGGGTGGGACTTGTGTGCTGAACATGCTGATTGGTTCTCACCACGCTATTCTTTCTGCCCGATGGCGCGCGTTCGTCCCATCCATCTTACGGTCAATGTCTGCTGATAACAAAAGTCTACTTTATTTGGCCCCGAGAGCCAAAGCAGTGAGTCAAAATTTTTAATTTAAATATTTCATCAGTTGAGACAAATTGGATATGAATACTAAAGGGTAAGATTAGATGTTTTATCAGGCTATTAATATTTTTACATTTATATATAGCAGAAGGCCATTTGACTGAGAAAAGACACAATATAGGCATTCAGGGTTGTCCTATTGAAGTCTGAACCATGGTTATAGTTTGCTTTAAATAAGTATGTTGTAAGTAAGAAAGTACTTAAAGTGATGACAACTATGTGATGAATATGCCCCCCCCCCCCCCCCCCGATGTCCCTCTTAACTTTACATTAAACACCAATTATTCACATTCAGTGTGGACATATACTTTTAAACAGTTAGTTCACCCAAAAAATGAAAATTCTGTCATTATTACTCATCCTCATGTCTTTAAAACCCTAAGACTTTCGTTTATCTTCAAACACCAAAAAAATGGAGATCTTTTTGATGAAATCTGACAGATTCTGACAGTTAGGCAACTGATATTTTGATGCTTCAAAAAGAGATTGTAAAACGAATCCATATGGATTAGTCCAAATTTTATCAATCACTTTATATGACGCACAGATTAAATTTAGGCTTTTATTCACATATAAACATTGATAAGCGAACAAAGAGAAGATCAACTGAACCTGCTTGACGCTCGAGAACAAAACCTCTTGCGAAAGCTCAAACGTGTTGCGAAACACAAGAACAAACCTCATTGGCTCTCGCAGGTCAAACGAATATGCTTGAGCTTCTGTTACCACAACTGATATAGGAGTTGATGAATGTTTATATGTGAATAAAATCCTAAATTCAATCTGTTCATCATATAAAACGATCGTGTCTCCTCAGATAATTCTGGCTGAAACTTCTCAACCCATATGTATTATTTTTACAATCTCAGTTGCATATCAAAGTTTCAGTTGCATAGCTGTCAACAGAGGCACAGAAAGCTCTCAGATTTTATCAAAAAGATAATCATTTGTGTTCCGATTTGGACAGTGAGTAATTAATGACAGAATTTTCACTTTTGGGTAAACTATCAATTTAAAGGTTTTCCCTTCTGGTTTTTCTGGACCCATTTTACTACTTCTGTTTTCTCCTTCATTGCACTGGCGCAGTGCTCCTACAAGCCCCTATTTATCTTATACTGTATATACCCTGCTTCTCATAAATTCAACAGGGACTTGGGTAAAATCAAACGAGGGCATGAGTTTTGTGAAATTAACAAATAAAAGATTGGAAAAAAGCACACTGTAGCTAATGTTCACCAGTCACTGATGTTGAGAGAGAACAGCACTAATGATTAATATGGCACATGTCTGAGGAATGCTGTGTGTTCAGTCTATGGTTCCGCAGCACAAACTAACTTCTTAAACACATCCACAAGGGACACCTCTTCTTACACATGAAAGCTACTGTACGTGTTAAAAATATCCTGCCTGGATTTGACAAATGATTGTGTGAGTGAGCGACTGAGTGACTGACTGAGTGAGTGACTGACTGACTGAGTGAGTGACTGACTGAGTGAGTGAGTGAGTGAGTGACTGAGTGAGTGACTGAGGGAGTGACTGAGTGACTGACTGAGGAGTGACTGAGTGAGTGACTGAGGGAGTGACTGAGTGAGTGACTGAGTGACTGAGTGAGTGACTGAGTGAGTGAGTGAGTGACTGAGTGAGTGACTGAGTGAGTGAGTGAATGAGTGAGTGACTGAGTGAGTGAGTGAGTGACTGAGTGAGTGACTGAGTGAGTGAGTGACTGAGTGACTGAGTGACTGAGTCAGTGAGTGAGTGACTGAGTGAGTGAGTGACTGAATGAGTGACTGAGTGACTGAGTGAGTGAGTGAGTGACTGAGTGAGTGACTGAATGAGTGACTGAGTGACTGAGTGAGTGACTGACTGAATGAGTGAGTGAGTGACTGAATGAGTGAGTGAGTGAGTGAGTAAATGAGTGACTGAGTGAGTGAGTGAAAGAAAGAAAGAAAGAAAAAAAGAAAGAAAGAAAGAAAGAAAGAAAGAAAGAAAGAAAGAAAGAAAGAAAGAAAGAAAGAAGAAAGAAAGAAAGAAAGAAAGAAAGAAAGAAAGAAAGAAAGAAAGAAAGAAAGAAAGAAAGAAAGAAAGAAAGAAAGAAGCGAACAGCGCCAGTAGCAGTGATGAATAATGACCTGTTTTTCTCCACCTCAGCAGCAAGTCCCTCAGGAGCCGGTTACAAAGTTCTTCCCCTGCTGCTCTTAAAAGCACAAATTACCACTCATGCTAATGTGAGGCCCTCAACTTCATCGAGATACCTAGATTCAACAACAGATTCAACCTGTGCACACACTGTACAAAAGCAATTATATTCTGCCCAGCATACAGGGCTTAGTGAGTCACAGATTCAAGAAATGAGAATTACATAAAAAAAACATGTTAACCAAATGAATAGCCTGAGAGTTTGAACAAATCTAAACTGAACTGCAAGCTCCCCGTATGCAGTGCAGCATGACAGTTTTTTTTTTTTAATCAGATTATTGTTTATGTTGTTTTAAACATCACTGTTGGGCATTTGTTCATTGAAAATACTAAAAATATGTTTTTACTAAATTATATTTGTTGACTGAGGTTGTTGAGTTTATTAAATTTGATTATTAAAGCAATGTATTATGTAACAAGTAGCGGCCGATCTGTTCTTCTGTAGAGTGATATACTTCAGAGTTTTCTATTTATCTTTTTAAGTTAAAAGTGTAATTGATGAAATTGCTCCAGTGAAAGTCAGGAAGAAGAGTGGTAGACAAAAATCACCTTGGAGAAACTCAACAGCAGTGCAAAAAATGAAAAGACAATGCGCATCTACAAAGACAGCATCCATGCTTTCAATATGGAACTACAGACTTTTTTCACGGATATTATAAACAGCAACTTAAAAAAACACACACTCTTTTTGCTATATTGTAGAGAAACTGACAAACCCCCCAAGCCAGATTCCCGTAGAAATGCTCTCAGAAAGCAAGTGAAGTGAGTTTGCTTTTTTCTTCTCTCAGAAAATCACTAATATCAGACAGGTGATCAGCACATCCTTGACTTACACTTTCAAAATAGTAAAACCAACTTGAAAAAGAATCATGATAATTCATTTTGCTGAAAAAAAAAAATCATCATATGAGATTTTTGCCATATCGCCCACCCCTACAAGAAATCAGTAGTTGCCTTGACAGGAATATACTGGTTGAATGACAAATTCAGTGAACAAACTAATTCAAGAGTTTTAACAAAAGTTTTACCAAGGACAAATAAGACAAAAATCTTTGTCTTCATCTGTGACTTATGTCAACAATACCTTAGGGAGTCTAGATGTTCATTCAACTCATTATCATCCAATACAAAATCTTTTTCTTCCTTTAATGTACATTGGTTGTGATCTCATATGCACACAAGTACACGTAGCGGTTTCATCTCCAGACAACATTTCCCAGAGCCACAGTCCAGAATTTTTAAGAGTGATCAGAGCTTTGAGTCTGTGGCTCTCTCAACAGTCTAAGCTTTGATTTCAAACAGTGATGGTAGCTCAAAGCAAAGGAATCATGGGAAGAGTCATGAGAAAACGAGTCAAACCATGTCATGTTGCTTTTGACTAACCATCAAATGCTATAGTTTTTTTTTAAACTACAGTACATGTAAGTTTGTGTCATATATTGAGGAGAAACAACAGAAGAACTACATTTTTTTATCTCTTAGACAAGCATCTATGCAATTTCATTTTCCTGTTTGCGCACAAAGGTGTTACAACACACAGTGAAAACACAAACAAACACAAGTCAAGACATGGAGTATAATTTTAATGTGTCTGCGACTCTGCGGGGCATGTAGTAAACAAAACCTAACATTGTTCTTACTAAGATTTTTTTTGTTAACTTTACTTAATGTCCAATAATTTGTTGAACTTACTTAAAATTTCTAATCTGTACTGTTTGCATGCTATGTTACTATGTTACCTTTGTTACTCAGAAAAACCTTGTAAACATTACTTGACTGGTTTGAGTACCATTTTGCTATTTTTTTTAATGATTTAATTAATTGACCGTTACAAATTGTTTTGTGGTCTCTTGTAAGTATAACCCCAATAACGAGCAAATAAAATGAAAAAAGCCAAAAATAAAAAAGCCAAAAATAGAAAAACAAAGCAATTAATTTATTCATGCCGCAATGCACTCTGGGAGTACACTTCCTCAGATCACAGACAGAAAGTTGACAAAACTTAAACGGATCAAGTAAGAATAACTTGATGCAATTTAGGCAACGAGTTTGCATAATTAAATTAAGTAAACTGAACTAACAGTTTTTAACAGTGTAGGATGTATTATGTGTTTAATTCTTACATTACAAATTCCTGTTTAAAAATCTTAACTGAAGTAATGCCAGACATTTTGTAATGTGTGAACAATTTCAAATCCTGTACATCCCTCTGTTTTTATCTTTAATGCAATCTGATGTACAGTGCACAGCCTTTGGGCCCTACACCCGGCCCAATGCAGCGCCAGGCGTGACGCAAGTGTGTTTTGCTAGTTTCAGTCCGACGCAGTTATCATTCTCACGTCCTATGCCACGTTGTTTAAATGGCAAATGCATTTGCGCGCGCATGGGCGTGCTGGTCAGAAAACGGGGCATGTTCGGGCGTTTTGTTGGCGCATTGCTATTTTGAGGCATAGACTGTGCCATTGACCAACTGAAACCTGGTTTAATAATTTTTTTGTTATTTAAAGAGCACGTTTGTAATATGCGCCAATAGACGGGTACACAACTCACACACTTTAATCTCGCGCACGACCAGATCCGTTTCCTCGTTAGAGAAGCATTCAGTTTTTCCGCTTGCAAATTCTGCATGTAAATAGCGAATCCGCCATGGTGCGAGCGCAACTGGCTTTTAAATGGAATGTGAGATGAGACTCTGATTGGTTTATTGTACGTTACGCCCAAAACACACCCATTACTCATTAAGAGAAGAGAGACAATCCTTTTACACCATGCGTCGGGCACACTGACCATTTGTCCAGACGTTACACTATAGCAAAAGTGAATTTGGACTGAATTTCTAAGTGTGCTTTGGGCTTAGATATATAATAAGGCTCTATATTGCTAAAAATCTAATGCAGGACTGGCAAAAAAAAAAAAGGTAATACAAAAAAAAATTTACTTTAATAAATCATTATTGATTTAAACACACAGACACAATTATATGTACGGATAATTTTGTAATGAGGGATTAAGCTCAGCTTAATGCCAAGTGTTTTATCTTTCTTCACCAATTATTTTACTTGGGGAACAATATTGTAAACTCAGAAGACTCTACAAAGAGGAAACTGTAATTGGTGGATGAGCCAAATATTCAGTTATCCCCTGCAGGTATATTCATCTGGGTTTAATTAATTCATGTTCTTGATAACTTCATTACTGCTTTAGGGACGGATGAGAACGCATTTCATGAGTGGGGAAATGATGCACAGACTGGCAAAGAGTGTCAATATACTAAAAAAAAATCAATAGACAAGTAAATATATATTTGTTTGTTCATGTATGTGGAGTCTAGTTTGGCAGGTGTTTTTTAAAAATTAATAATATTGTTTTTCAAACAGAAAGGTAAGGGTTGACTAGTCACAGTGTCAGAAAGACCACCTTCTTGTAAAAAACAACACATTTTTAGTGTTAAACAGGTAGGACACACACAATGTTCTGATCAGCCGAAAGCTTCTGTGTCTGATGTGTTCCGTTTGCTTCAATCTGCTCCTCAGCAGTTATAAACATGTAAAATTCATAAATTTCAGTCAAGTGAGTTTACTACATAAATAATAAACTCTAAAGGGGGAAGGCTAGGATGACTCACCAAACAACCCAAAATATGTTAAATTTATGTCATGTGAATTCAGGCTGAATGGGATACTTTTTGCCTTTGAGATTACTGGGGAAGAGTGTCACTGAATTCATGCCTTTATATCTGTTCTGATATAGAGCCCTATCCTCCTTCTTCTCATGCGATATTGCATACAAGTTTCCTTGTTCTCCACATTTTGGACTGACCGAGTGGAAAAATGAGAGAACTTACCCATCTTGATCTTGGTAGTTCACATTCAGCCTCTTTGTGGAGCCCAGTAACTCTAGGAAAACAGATGGAAATAAAAGTCAGGACATGATGTGATGTTTTAAACAAATCAGTCAGCTGCTGATCCCTCCATTAGAGAGGTATGAGGCATGATGATGTTAAGGCATGAAAGCACTCGTTTCAAACTTTCAACAGGCAATTGTTTTGTACTCAAACACAACGTAGATTGACGGTTGTGTCATATTTTTCCAGTGAGTAACAAAACATTCATTACATGTCTATTTTGTCATCGGCACAATATTTATGTTATAACAATGATTTTTTGCATACGAACTGAAAAGTCAAGAAAGTATTTCTCCGTTCAAAACAGTCTTAAAGGGTTCAAATATGGTAATTCTGTCATTATTAACTCACGCTCATGCAATTCTGAGCCTGCCTGCATGCTAAGAATATCAGAATCTTTACACAGCTCTTTTCCATAAAACGACAGTTCATTGTGGAAATGTGTGTGGGTGAGAATAAGAGAACCATCCCTTTAATTGATGTCTACAGATGGTCTCATTATTCAATCCTGTCAAAAACACAGTCTTTCATATAAGACATGCAGGATTCCTACCAATCCAAATTAGGAATGATTTCCATGAATAAACTTTAAGCAACTAAATGTTTCTCTCTTTCCTTTTTTGGAACATGTTAACGCAAACAAGCGGAGTGATACAAACAGTAGAAAGCCCCAGTCCAGTTAGTCTCAGTGTTTTTTGTGCATCTTCAAAAAACAAGATACAGTAAGTCCAAATCCAGAATGCAGACAGTTCTTACTAGGTCAAAAATCATCTCTACGTTGACTACCTATTATTATGCCCTATACAAATGATAAAATATTGCCTCTTACCTATTATATTGGTCTTGCCTCTTTGTAATTTTAATTGCGATTAAATCACACCTTTGTGGTTAAATCAAGCATAAACCATACACTGACCATTTATATTGTTTAACACGTTCGTTTTGTCATCATTTGATACATCCAGCAAAGTAAATCTTCAGATTGAAGGATGATTCTCACAAAACTGTATTTTCTGCAAGCTTTTTTCAAGGTACATTTTTAATTGTCTTTTCAATAATGGACACTCTGAGACTTTGCTTGTCTTTAACTTGACTGCATACCTCATCCACCAAACTTTACAAGCGAGATGATGGTTTGCTTTATTCAGCTGACAAGTTGTATTATTAAACTAGTTTGCATATCATCAGGCCAGATGTGGGATGTTTTGACGTTCCGTTCAGTCTGTATTTCACACAGCGCGGTGCGTTAAGGGATCATGCTCTTTAGAATCAGTCACAGATAAAGAGCATTTCCAAGATGACAGATGACATATCTGTCAATATGACAGAGCTTGTGTTTTAAATACACAGTGGAATGAATAATTCACTGAAAAAGCAGTCTCTATTCGCTCTGCCATCTCTGCTGGTGCCATCTCACCAGCCTAGTTCTCTGTTTTGCTTTTGGCTTGCTTTGAGCTTGCTCAGTTGGGGTTATTTAGTGTTTAGCAATGTTGTTGATCTGTGTTGTGCTACTTTCATGTTATCACTGTGAAGCTGCTTTGTGAAAAGCGCTATATAAATAAATGTGACTTGACTTGACTTGACTTTTGAACTGATTGTTTGAATGAATTTGCTTACCAAATCATTGGACTGAAAATTTTCCCAGAATAAACTCCTGACCTCTAAGATGAACTCTGTGACATAAATTACGTTGATGATGCAATTTCGCGAGTTATTTTTGCGTAAAATCATTTTGACACGTTAAAGATTCTGAATTTATCTGAAGCGTTAACCAATCTTCTCTCACACTACAATCCATCCACCCTAGGCTTTTGTTCACATTTTACCGAAGAGCTTTTTCACATTTGGCTCCTAAACTGTGGAATAGCCTTCCTAATTATGTTCCGGGCTCAGGCACACTTTAATGCGTATGTGAACACCATCAGTGTTTAATCACATGTTCTTGTTTAAGTCTGTTTAGAGAGAATGGTGTCGTCATAGCTAGCGGTCCCTAATTTAATAACAAAATAAATTTCGACGGAAGAAACGCTATAAAGCCAAAACAATCTCTGTTACCTTAAATTATATGTTTTGTCTCTCTACATTGTTAAAAGCACTATATAAATGAAGATGACTTGACTAGTGCATGCACGTAACAGCATCCGCTACATATAGAGTGCCGAAGTTATGTCACTTTGTAGGACAACTAGGAAGTTAACGGCGCATGGGTTCCCTCGATCGAAAAGCTATGCTGTTCCCCATAGACTTTTGGAAAACCGCTGAAATCTGTGTTCAACAAAGAGTTGTGACCCTAACATGTTTTGTCTATCAAGATAATCTTTACAAGTTACTCCAAAATGTATACATTTTGAAGCCAAAGTTTAAAAACCCACCAGCAGACAAAATAAAGTTAAAAAAACACAAGCAGGTTATAACTGGTTTGTTTTATATCATAGATCAAAACGTGAAAATATTTAGAGGCCTTATTTCAGGCGATTTAGCAAAAACCCATTTAAAAAAAAACATAGACTTTAGGGCTAAAATGCTAACTTACTTCCGCGTTTTGGCCTACAAAGTGACGTCATAACTTCAGCACTCTATTGGACCATCCAGCTACGCCATCGTGCTACAGGCTGTAGAGAGGAACTCTTGGGCGTTTCCGATAATTTCAAAGATTTTAGATGATGGCAATTATGGATTGACAGACAAAACTTTTAAATATCATCCCAATATCATCCTTATATTGTAAACATTATGACTATTTGCTGCCTAACACGTTTGTTGGTACAGCTTAACATTATACATGAAGTTAACCACATAACATGTACCCTATTAGCTGTATGTATATTACTGCCATTTGGACATCACTTCAATGCACTCATTGCATTTTCTGTAAAGCTGCTTTAAAACAATGTAGGCTACTGTGAAAAGATCTGGAACTAGCGGTTCTAAAATGCAAGTTAGAACGTTCGGTCACTCTTAAACACAAAAATAAGTACAATGTAGGCTATTTATGTGGTCATATTGTATCGCAAAACACTCTTGCTTCGATCGAGGTGGGATCCAGGTAGGGTTATTAGGGACAGGTTTGGTGGCATAAGTGGGTTAGGTTATAAGGGAACGATCAACGGTGTAATTATAGATGTAATTACAGAAATTAATTACAGCTGTAATTTTACATGTAGGTATTTTTGATTTGTATGTACAATGTAAAAACAATGCAAGTGCATTCTATCAAAAGATTAATGGTAACACTTTACAATAAGGTTCACTAGTTAACATTAGTTAACTGCATTAGTTAACATGTACAATATGTGAACAATACTTCTTCAGCATTTATTAATCTTAGTTAATATTAATTCCAACATTTACTAATACGTTATTAAAATCAAAGGTTGTATTAGTTAACATTAGTTAATGGACTGTGAACTAACATGAACGCACAATGAACAGCTGTATTTGTATTAACTAACATTAACAAAGATTAATAAACACTGTAACTAATGCTTTGCTCATCGTTAGTTCATGTTAGTTAATGCATTTACTAATGTTAAGTAATGAACCTTATTGTAAAGTGTTACCAGATTAATTTATGTCAGTACATAGTAGTTAAAGACACCAAAGTGAGACCAAATGTTCTAATGATGTGGACAAGTAATAGAAAATAAAAATTTGAAAATTTGGAAAAAAGTACTGTAACAAAAAAGAAACAATGAAAAACCGTACGCTCCACCTGTCGCTAAAGGGAAAATGTGATTTAGGTCACCAAGTGAAGAGCGATGAACGCAGAGCAAGACTGTCAGTGACAGAAGACAAGTCTGTCCTCTAACAACATGGAGCTGTGTCATCATTTTAAATGAGCTCTGAACTACAGCATCCTGACTGCTTTTATCTCAAACGTGGAACAAAAGAAACTTTACTGTAAATGTAAACGGTGTTCACTTACCTGTCAGTACACACACAACTGCCTGCCCCATTTTGACTAATAAACCTAAACTTTTCTTTGATTTCTTACATCCTATGCACTTCAACTATTCACTTGCTTAGAAACCTTTCCATCCGATCCAAATAAGACCATCAGCCTCAAAAAAGATCCCGTCTCCTGACTCCAAATCACACTGCAGGAAATTGGATCTATAACTATTTGTACCCTCCAGCATAGTGGGAGCAATGAATTCCTGCCCCCACATCTTCAGGATTAAAACCAATCAGAAAAAAAAAAAAATCGTATTTATAGTGAAAACTTCATTTGTTATTCGCCAATTAGGTATCTATGGCTATCAAGATGTTCATGTCTTTCTTTCTTCAGACGAATCGAAATTAAAGTTTTTGAGGAAAACATTCCAGGATTTTTCTCCATACAGTTAGTGGACTTCAATGGTTTGAAGGTCCAAATTGCAGTTTCAATGCAACTTTAAAGAGCTCAACACGATCCCAGCCGAAGAATAAGGGTCTAATATAGCGCAATGACAGGACATTTTCCACACAAAAAAAATGGTGTTGAAAGTCTTCTTCTTTCAGCCAAACACAATCTGAGCCAAAATATCCTGGCTCTTCCAAGCTTTAAAATGAGAGTAATTAAGTAAATATTAACTGAGAAAAAAAAAAAAAAAAACATCCATTCATCCATCCATAAGGCTCCATGAAGTAATAAATGCCTCCTGAAGAGAAGCGATTTGTTTGTGTAAGAAAAATATCCACAATTAAATCTTTATAAACTGCAATCACTAGCTTCCGTTAACGTCCATCCGAGCATTCACACGAGAGTCGAAGTTCAAGGATTTAATGAATTATATTACTCTCCACATTAAGTGTGACAGAGGAGAAACTCTGATGCTTTTTTGGTAACAGCCACTAAGTGGCGCTTCGGTAGGCCGCCATTTTGGGGTGAAAATTCCAACTGGAGTTACTGGACAACAGCCATAGACATATGCACTAGACGTCACCTGGGGTCCTAAGCATGCGTCAAAACTGCCGCCATCTTGGAACAGGGGTGTTGTCATAGGGAGTAGC